TTCTGAATGCTACGTGAGCAGGTTCTTAAATAAACAAACAACAAAATATGTGTTAATATGACCGTGACCTTTTCCTTTTCATCATGATTAAATAGCCCTGCTGACTTAGTTCATCCGAATGGGGAATAATTACTTTTAATACAAGCAATTATAATATAATTGGCTGTTAATAATCCCTTGTATTTTCTAAGGTGGGATAGAATTTACAGAATGTTTCCATATGATGTCATCAGACAATGTCTGTTACGCGGCCATTATTATTTCCATTTTACAGATGAGAAACCCTGAGGTCACAGAGGTTAATTAGCATGTGTAAATTGGGCCCAGCAGGAGTAATCAAGACTGATAACTGTGGGGACAGAGGGGAACCAAGGGTGGGCGAGAGTGTTTATCTTGACATCTAAGGGCTGAGCTGTCTATGGAGGATTTAGAAAGAGTAAAACAGAACAAAGCCAGTCTGTTTTTTATGACTACACACCAGCAACTCTATATGATGTCTCTGATAAAATATTCTTTCTACTGGAAAAGCTGACTTATTCTATTGTAACCCAAATATTGTATATTGTAACCCAAATATCATAATCCCTTTTCTGGTAATCCTCTAGAAACATTATTGCAATCCCAGCAAGTTAATTCCAGTGTACCACCTCCAATGCAACCCATGGCAAGGGTAAAGTCACTAAGCCATATTCAAAGTTATGGGCAGCCAACAAGTCCTGTGTCCAATCCAAGTGAAGATGTATGAACAAAGACCTTGATTTAAGGCCTCTCCCAGAATTTATCATCTCATAAAGAAGGGAGTGGTTGAAGGATGAGTGACAGTGAAGATGGCGGGAATTAGGTGAGCAAGTGAGCTGAGCTGGCCAGGTGGGAGCAGGCACCTCTGCAGTATGCGGGGAGAAAGATACACAGGAGGATCAGTCTGCATGACTCCAGTGGGACAGCATGTGAGTGAATTTAGGAGGCTGCGGCTTTCACTTGAGGCAAGTCATAGCCTCTTATTTTGAGGTTCTCACCCCACTGACAGCCCTGGAGCTATCCTAACCTTATGTGCATTGCTTAGAGCCAACTGTAGATAGAAAGAAATGGAATAGCCAGATCTACATATCAGTACATGGAAATAAGACTCGCTTTAACTAATGATGAAGCAATTGCTCTGCATTCAAGGGGAGGTGCCCAGGTCATCTTTTACCATTCTATTCTTTAAATATTTATTCTTAGTTACTTTCTCATTGCTGGAACAAAAGATCTGACAGCTCTAAGGAGGAAAAGTTTATTTCTGCTCACAGTTTGTAGAGGTTTCAGTCCATAGTTGGCTGGCTCCAACGCAGGGTGGCACAATAGAGGAACATCACAGAGAAGAAAGAGCTCATGGCATGGCAGCTAGAAGCAGGGCGAGACCAAGGGAGGAGGAGGGATAAAACCCTTCCAAGTCATGAACAGTGACCACTTCTTCACATCAAGCTTCACCTCCCAACGTCACACCCATCTGTAAACCCATAAGTGGATTAATCCAGTACCACACACTCACAATCCAGCCCCCTCCAAAAGTCCCACCTTTGAATGAACGAGGCTTTGGAGGGACATTTAAATCTATAGTTTTTCCCTCATTCTCTCCCTCCCTCCTTTTCCTCTTCTCTTCCTTTTTCTTCTTCTTCTCCTCCTCCCCCTCCCCCTCCTCCTCCTCCTCCTCCCCCTCCTCCTCCCCCTCCCTCTCCCTCCTCCTCCTCCTCCTCCTCCTCCTCCTCCTCCTCCTTCTTCCCCTCTTTGTTTTCCAGGGCCCCATGCATCCTGGGCACATGCTCTACTGCTCTCCCACTGAGCAACATCCCTTGCCTATGCTGATAGAAACATTAAGACAGCAAGTGGGTCTCATTTCCAAACACACAGGGATCCCTCTCAGGACTTTGTAAAGCATTTCATGTTTCAAATCCCTGCCCAGGTATATCTGTGAAAATACCTACAGGTAGCTGCTTTTCTTTGGAGATGTTAGAACCTTGTGGACTTATACTTTCCTGGGAAAAATCATACCTAGCATATAGCCAAACATCTATCAACTCCTCAGGCTTTGAAACAAATTTTTCCAAACATGTTCCAGAAAAGTGGCACCAAGTCACACACGCAGCAAAGGCTACTGGGTTCTTTGAGAGGCAGCTGTGGCTGTAGGTGGACAGAAAGGACAGAGACAGTGGCTCTGCCAAGGGTGGCTGTAAACACTTGTCTTGGTGCCCAAGGCCTAGATGCTTATCATTCTCTTGCCCTCTGGGACAATACAGAAATGCTTAGAATTCTCCCATCTGAACTGAGAAGGACAGCTGCTTTCTCTAAAATCACAAATACGAATCCTGCATTAGGGAATCCCTAGCTACTGGGGTGGCCAATAGCCCAAGGGTTGTTGTCTTGGTTACTTTTTTCATTGCTAAAACAAAATACTTGGCACCCAAAGTTAAAGGAGGAAAAGTTTATTGTAGGTCACAGTTTGTAGAGATTTCAGGTCATAGTTGGCTGGCTCCAAGGCACAGAGGTATAGCAAATGGGCATCACAGCGGAGAAAGAGTTCATGGTGGGCACAAGGCAGCAAAGTAGCAAAATAGTGAAGAACCAGGAAGTGATGACCACAGCACTCTTCCTGTCTCTCATATGCTGTCCAGGCTACACATGCTTAGGGCAGATAAACTCGCCCTTAATCCCAACACCATACACTCTAGGTCCAGCCACTTCCGGAAAGTCCTATCTTTGACCTCATGAGGCTTTCGGGGGACATCTAGGCATAAATCATAAGAGTTGTCCTGGGACCTGGAACTTTCAGTGCCAAAATTTGGACAGTCCAGGCAAACCAGGATGCTTGGTTAGAGATTTGCTAATCAGGATTCCATGCTCAGTTTACTGCTGTGACAGTAACCTTGAGCCCTGACCTGGGCTATGTAGGCCTGGGCAGCAAGTTTGTCTGAGCTGCAGAGCCAACAAAAGGCAGGTTCCCATACAGGGCCCAGGCCAACCCCACAGCAGGTTTCCAATCCTCAGGAATGGGTAATTCTCTGCAGGGAATGCAGAGAATTTTTCACTGAAAGATGTTGAGCAGCACCCTTACCCTTCACCCACCCAAAGCCAATAATGTGCTCGCTACCCAGAGTCTCTATCCATTATAGATGTTCCCTGGGTCCAGCGGGTGGCAGAGGCAAAACACCCCCAGCCAGGAACCACTGCCCTACAGTGATGTCTCCACACCTTCATTGCTGTTGTATACAAGTCAAAGTAGGCAGAATAGGCACCCAGGCTTTAGGCTTACCAGGGCCAGTCTGTCTGCCCTTCAAGTGTTTACTCCGCAACCTTCCCAGATCTAAGCAAGCTTAGTCTGGTTGCTGAGGTCCCTCTGGGACAGTGTTGTTTGGGAAGGTACCGCCTTAAACCAGCTCTTCCCACAAGGTATCACAAGGCACTTTGTAGAAAACTAGGGGAGTAAAAGGGGAGTTTGAAGAACGCTACACAGTTATTCACTGAGTACATGACATGATAAAGGCTCCAAGAAGTCCTGCAATAAGAAAACCTATTTAAATATTACAATGCAGATTGATGTTGAGGTCAGCCTATTACAAAAATTTAAAGAAGATTTGAACACAATAGGCTTAGGCCCTCTCATTTCTTTGGAAGGACTGGAGCCTTTCCTGAGATTTCCAGAGTGGTTATATTCTCTTGGTTACTTCCAGTTCTAAATCAGCTTCCCGTGAAATTCGCCAACTCATTCATAATGTGCCTCTTACCACGTCCCCCTTATCTCTGCTTTGTGTGACTGAGGAATCATATTTCAGGCTCCTTTCCCTAATTTCCACTTCCCCCAAATCTTCTACAGGCATTTGTCTTCAGCAACTTCCTCTGCCCTGCGCTTATTAACTCTCCATGCTTTATTATACAAAAACAAATTCATTTTCCGCTCTTACTCAGCCTAGACCTATATTAGCACTTTCAAAGCCTTGTTAACAGGTAACCACATAATTTATCATCCTAACTATGACCCTAAAAATGGAAGTAGGCCTAATAAAAATTTCCCTGGGTCAACAGGAGGTCCTGGGCAAACCAGGTAGCACCATCAGGATTGAACCTCCTTCTCTGCTAAATCCAAGGGCGCCTACCCTTGCCCAGTTTCAGCACAGGAAAGGCACCATGGGATGGAAATAGTAGAAATTCCTAAGTGCCTTCTCCTTCTTGTCCAGCCCCTGCCAGTGGAATAGAGCCGTCACCTCCCTATGAAGAGTGGCTCCCATCAGCATTGGTTTTAAAGGGGGAAAAAAAATCCTCCACATTATTTGTATCTTAGCTACCATTTCTCATCATTAGATGACCATATGTCTCATTGATGCTCTCTGTCCTACAGCTGTTAATGTCTCTCATACCTAGAACAGACTGTAGGCATCTTTGAGCTCATAGATGCATTGCAATGACCTCATCTCAGAGACAAGGGCAGGGTGGAGAGGAGTTGGGGAATTGCATCTTGGGGGCCCTGTGATGTTGCGGGGGGTGGGGGGTGGCCAGGAGATGAAAGACAAGAGCCATAGAATGAGGCTCCCAGAATAGCAGAGGCTCTTGTTCTACTATGATGGCCAATGGACTGTGCTGTGGGAAATGCTGCCTTATATCAATTACTGGTTTGAGTGAGAATCTTTCAAAGACCAAAAGTGCTTAGCTCATCCAGCCATGGATCTGACCAGGCCATTTGTGCTATGGATGTCCAAGCAGTGGACCATCTGCCTGGTCCCTTCAGCTGCAGACTGGACCGAAACAGGGCACCCCCAAAGACCCTGCAAACTGATGATTGGGACTTGCTGCCCCCTGCATCCTTCTTGTGTATCTCCCCTGTCCCTTCCCTGACACTGGGCCAAACTGAGGATCACAGTTAGTTTGTATTTGTAATCCCATTGAGATGTTATTGGAATTGCAGTGAGCTAACTTCAATCTACCACCTCCAGTGCAACCCACGGTGAAAATAAAGACGCTAAGACATATTCAAAGTTACAGGCAGCCAAGAGGTCCTGAGTCCCGTCCAGGTGAGGATTCGTGGAACAAAGGTTCATCCCAGCGCCTCACCCAGAATTTATTAATTCGTGAAGAAGAGAGTGGTGAGAATAGTGGGAGATATGTGAGTACTGTGAGCTGAGCTAGCAGAAAGACCTCCACAATATGCAGAGAGACCAACCTGCATAACTCAGTTGGGGTAGCATTTAATGTTTAGGAAGGTGTTGTTTCAGTTTCTGATGTGTAAACTTTTGTGCCTGGGAAGTCATAGCCTCTTATCTTGGGTCTTGAACTCAGTTGACATTCCTGGGGATATGTGGCTCTTCCAGCCCACTGAGCTCAATGGTTTACAAGGAGACACATGGGGAGGAAACCACAAATTGTCAGCTGACTTCAAAGATTACAGATCAGTACCTCTGCTGGACCTATCTACATTGCTTAGAGCCAATTGAAGAGAAAAGGGAAGCTCTGTACATGTCAGTACATGGAGATAGGGCCTCGCTTAACTAGTGCAGAGGTAACCGTTCTGCATTCAAGAAGAGCCACCCAAGTGGTCTTCTGTGGCACTGGTGAATAGCCTAAGCCCTGCTGGGTCTCTGGTCCTGGTCCTCCCAAGGTGCCTGTTACCACCGGTGACTGCCACTGTCCCTTAGACTTCTCCCTACATTGGGACAGCAGAGGAAGAGGCAGGGCTTCCAGAGCAAAAGCTAGAGGTGCTAAGAGCTCTGGCCTCACCAGTGTGTGACCCACCTGCCCCAGAAGCCCTCTCTTTAGTTCTGTGTGGGGCTTTAACCTCCCCTTTCCTCCTGCCCTCTTGGGTCCCTGTCACCTAGACTGACTCAGTGAGGTCTCTGTCTTCCGCCTAGAGCTCTGCCTTCCAGCAGCCTCAGAGAAGCGTGCCAATCCTTCTGCTTTTGCCAGTGTCGTTGCTGGCACAACAGCATTTGGGCATTCATACCACTTCCTCTCCTGTAGCTCCCTACAGTCCATTTCCAGCATTAGCAGCAAACAAAATCTTTCTAGAACTTAAGTCAGGTAATTTTCAAAACTGTCCAAAATGTCCAAGCTCTTTCCAAGAAATAGTCAAAATAGTCAAAAAAGAGTACATATCCGTCATTGCTCTGCCCCTGCTCCCCCAGAAACTCCACTCCAGGCACTGGAGAGTGAGTATTGACCATGTTGGCTGTTCTGCTTCCCCAAGGCATTAGCACCTGTTATTCCTTCTGCCTGAAGTGGGTTTCCACTCTTCTGTCCAGTCTCATGTTCTTACTTGTTTTGGGCCAGTGTTCTTACTTGCTTTTCTGACTGACTGATCCAAAACCCGCTCAGCACTTTCCTCCTTTACTAATCTGCTTTCTTTCTTCCATAGGGCACAGCAGCATCTGTTTTTTGTTGTTGTTGTTGTTTGTTTGTTTTGTTTGTTTGTTTGTTTGTTTGTAGTAGGGAAGCTCTAAGAGGATAACATTCAGTCTTCTGGGTTCACTATTGTATTCACAGGACCTTGAGCACAGAAATGCTAAACACAGATTTGCTGGGGGTGGGGGGGAAACAAAGCAGTGAATCAACTTGGAAGTTGCAGGCCTGTCCCCAAGTCCTCACGGGTCAGTGGTGAGTGCAGCCTGCTTCCCAGCTCATTCCTCCCCCAGCTCTTTCCCAGATGCCCAGCAGGTCCCCCAGTAAAAGCTCTTCCCACAGGCCTGCAGCCACTCCAGTCCCCTACACGTCCTGTCCAGTAGGGAGCCAGCCATTCATGTGTCACAGAGGCAAGCAAGCACCTGTGGCAGCTCCCACAAGGTGTCACTTCCAGCCACATCCTGGATGAGAGGCACCCACAACCCCATCTCCATCCCCACCCTTGCCTTGGGAGAGCCCAAAACTGGAAAGCCTGGAGCAGGCCCTGCTGACCCTTCATCTCAGCATCCTGTCCCTGCATGTTCTGGTCTCTGCTATGTCACTCCTTCCTGTTGGGACCAACCTTTACTCCAGTAAGTTAGAAGAAGAAGAAATCTCCAATCAGCAACCTCTACCCACGCGTGTTTTGTGCATTATTTAAGAACACACATCCGTACACACAAGTCAAAGTGTGAGTGGTGTTTGGATCCAGAGTCTCCCCCCTGCCCCTCCCCATGGCCAAGGGCCCATCAGCGGAATACAATAGAGGCATATTCCACTTGGTCTGGTGGCAGCCTTGTTCTTGGAGGCCAGTCGAAACGGGGCATGTTGGCATAGATGGCGAAGTCGTCCTCTTTCCAGGGGGCCAGGTTAATCACGTTGCAATACACAGCCTCGGCTCCGCAGGAAAAGTCCTTTAGAAATAGAAACCCAGTATAGATAGCCAAGCAATGGGGACTTGTAAAAACAAACCTGGGCGCTCGGCTGTCTTTACAGGCGGGAGCAGAGCCTTGGGGTTTCAAACACACCCCTTCCATACAGGTCACCCACTTCATCCCACCGCCCTCTGCACGGATCCTATCCAGGAAACACCTAGAAACCACAGCAGAGATGGCCAGGGCCTCTCTGCATAAGACTCCACTTACTGCCTTACCAAAGGTTTATGGAGAAACTTGGTCTGATGTCTCAGTTGTTTTTTAAACAGTCCTAGAAAAATTAATAAACTCAAAGTCAAATTGCTGAGTTTAGGGCTCAACTGTAAAATGCAAAAGTCAAGTTCAATGGGCCTCTGAGACTAAGTAAGATTCCCAGGAAATGCAAATGAGTACATTTCGTAATTTTGCTCTTATGTAGATGAGATTATTTGCAATCAATATTTCCTTTAATTGATGCATTTATATGCATATAGCTTATGTGTGGCTTTCAGCATGAAGAATTTAGATGATACAAAATTCCTGCTACTATGTATGGAGTCCCTGGTGACCCTAGAGAAAGACTCTATAGCCTGCCTGGTGCCATCTCCTCTTGCCAAGGTTGCCCCACAACAAAGACATCCCGAGTCTTCCCCCAGCTTCCCTCCCTTTTGCATTCCCACTTCCAAGGCCAGCTGCTCAACTCACTCTCATGCCTCCATTTCTTCAAGATCACCACCAGGAGACCCACCAGGAGCAAGACGAGGGCCATGACACCAATGGATCCGGAGAGGGTGCTGGCTGCCGTGCTGACGCTGAGGAGAGCACCCAAGGGAGATGAGGTCAGTCCAGCTGCCCCAGCTGCTGATGACCACCACCAAAGTGCGCTGGGCTCCCTGCCCTGTGCTTGCTCTCTTGACTCTGGGCTTCCCCCCTATAGCTGAGCATCTTCTCTCTTATATCTTCAAAGCCATGCTCCCACACACACCCACAGACCACTTCTCTGAGCCCAGTCCTCTGTCTGAGTCTACAGACCTGGTCTCTGGCATCAGGGTGGTGTTGCCTACAGGACATAGGGGAGAATAAAAGAAAAGGATTAGTTGAGAGCAATCCTTACACGCATGCAAATAAGCTGTATGGGATCCCGAATGGTATCACTAACTCCTTACAATCTCATTTAGTCTTCATCAATAGACGTGAGGCACAAACAGTCATTATTTCCATTTCACAGGGAGAGACCAGCTCGCAAGGATGAGACTTGCTCACAGTCGCAGAGTTAGTAAGAGGCAGGGTCTGGTGAACTTAAAACCAAACTACCTTTGGTTTTAAACTATGTTCCTAACACAGTTAGGTCACAGAGGCAAGGAAACTCAGAGGAAGGCACTCGCCAGAGGTAAGTACTGCAGCCAGGACCTGAGTCTGCATTTTTTCTCCAAATCAAAGCTGTCTTCACCTGCTCAGGCCCTGCCTGTTCTCCCCTCATAAGATGGAGTTGATGATCCACAGTCCAGCAGGTGGTGCCTTGCTCTCTCTGGTTGCATGTCCTGGGAACTGGTTACTCAGACACTCTGACACAGAGACAGCTGCCAAGATGGTGAAGGGGCACATCAGGCCACCACAGCAATCTATTCCCAGGTTGTAGGTGCCAGGAATTGTAGCTTCTTGGAGCACTGAGCCAGGTAGAATCACACGGGGCACCTTGGCAGCTCCATTCCTGTCTTTACTCCCGCCCCCTCTGTGTAGGCCAGCAGCCCTCATCAAGTTCCCCAGGAACAGCTGCTGTCCATCTACCAGTGCCCATCTATGGGTCAGGAGGCTGCTCAGAAGCCAGATCTTCTGAGATGAAGCACCCAGTCAAGGGGCTTGGTGCAGGGAACAGCGGTGTGTGACAGAGCACACATGACCCTATGCCAAGACAGGGGAATCTGAGTCACTGGCTGATGGAGGCTGGCCGTGCCTATTTACCGCAGACCAGAGACAGGGCAAGGAGAACCATCCAGGATCAGAAAGGGACATAGCTATTCTTCGAAGGCAGAGGACACACATGGGCATGAGGCCACCGAAGAACTTGACCTGTTAGGCCCAATAGCCTAGATCTCAAGTACTTCCTGACTGTGATCTTACCCTCTTGGAGCCCCCATTTTCTTTATCTGTGAAGTGGACATAATATCAACACCTACCTCACAGAGACGTTTAAGAATTTATGCTCTTGTGAGGGCCATTTTGCCTCGGGCTTGTTCTCAACTGGCCTTACCTGGTAAGAGTGAGTGGGTGAGATTCTCCATGGACGCATTGCTGTCTCTGAGGGCCCAAACACTGCGACTAGTCCAGTTCATCTCACCCAGGGACCATCGGGGGTTCTTGGGACAAGTTGTGCTCCTTAGCTGGAAGCAGTTTTTTCAGAAGTATTGACCAGAGGTGGACACAAGGCCTTGGGCAGCTGGGGTCTCTTTTCCTCCCGTCTCTTATTCCTCCAGGGCAACCTGCTAGGGGCAAACGGTAAATCTCACCACTGAAGGGGACCTTGAAGGCTTGGTGACTGCGTCTCTCTTATACAAGGCATCTTCAGACTGGCCTTCTACAAGCACACGTCCAAAGTTGCTCCCTGCCTCTATCACAGCATGGGTTTCTGAAGTCACCTCCAAGCTACTTGGGTTACTGTCAGTCTCCCACTATAAGAATGTGAGCTCCACAGAACAAATGAAACCTGTTCCATTTGGCCCTTGCTATATCCTGAGAACCTAGCACAATGCTTCGTACAACGTAAGTTTATGATATATGTGTTGGCTGAGTGGATGAATAAATGAACACCAAAAATTACTTCCCAACAAACTGATTATGACCACCCAATCTGTGAGGGAATTTTGGAGAGCTTACACCCCAGACTTTTGAATTCTCAAGTGATAGCTGATCTTTATCCTTTGAAGAAAAACTTGGGTTGAAACAGCTCAGACTGCTCTGAACCATCCCAGCTGTGTGGTAAAGCAGGTGATGGCTGAACTAAGCAATAGAAATTTCCAAACAAGAGGAGATGTGCCTCTGAATACCACGAACCGTGAGCTGAGGACCTGGAGAAGGAAGTCCTGCCCCAATGGGCGGCCCAGGGGAGGAAGACAGAGGCAGAGTGGGAATCTAAAATGTAGTGTCCCACAGTTACCATCACAGGCACTCACCCTGCCCCAGCCTCGGTTCCTGTGTAGGGGCTGAGGCTAAGAGAGAGGTGTGCTGAAGTCCACCCGCCACCACCACATCCTTGCAGACAGACCTGCAAAAGGTGTTGGGAACCCCATCTCTAACAAGGCCTGAGCTGGAACGAGAGCCCAGGAGACGTGGCTAAGGCCTTGCCCTTGCTTGGACCCAGCTTCCTATTTGTGAAATGAGGCGGGATGAGAAGAGGAACGTGAATGCCAGGTTCTTCCCACAAAGTCGTCTCTTCAGTTGTCCCCTTCCTCATGTGACTGTGTAGCTGACACCCTTCTCAGTCTGGTACATTTCCCAAAGAACAGGAAAAGCTTTTCAGAAAGGAGCCTGAGTGATAGAAATTGTTTTTACTTTTAATTTTCTAAAGAGTGAGGATATCATAATCTTTTCAGTGTGGGGCATTTTTCTGTTCGTTAAGCAACATTAAGATAGTTTAAGATTCAAAGGCAGAGGAGGTGGGGCGAGCTCACTGTGGGCTTCATGCACGCAGATCAAACACGCACACACATGCATACTCACGCGCACACAAGTGCACAATCTTAAAACATTTTTCCCATGGATGACAGCACATCACATGCATCACTCTCCCTCATTTTTTCTCAGAGCTAAAAACCATCAATATGCAGAGCTTTCTCTTGCTGTTCTTTAGTGACAGAATGACCTGCTGTACAGATACCCACAGGAGACTGTGACTGTTTTCCCACCAGTGCACACTTAGATGGCTTCCATTATTCACTGTTCAATTGATGGGCTTACACAGCATCATTTTGCACCTGCATGAATACGTGTGTGAGAGGCGAATGGCCTGAAAACGGATTTGCAATCCATATTTTAGGAAGTCGGTATTTTTAAGAATCTAAAATGTAGTGTTATCCAATTTGATAACCCATATTATAAATCAGATTTCATTCTGAATGGCCCATGGGTTTCTAAAAATCAAAATGTTCATCAAACTAGCAGGAGGGTCTCTGCTAGTTTGAGGCCAGCCTGGCTACATAATGAGTTTAAGGCCAGCCTGAACTACATAGTGAGAACTTGTATCAAAAAAAAAGAAAGAAAGAAAGAAAGAAAGAAAGAAAGAAAGAAAGAAAGAAGCTAAATCTAGCTTCCTTGTTCACTGAGTCTCTCTCTCAAGTATCCAGTGGAATTTTCTCAAAGCTGTACAATGTGGTACCAAAAGAGACAAAAGCCAATGCAGATCTGAGAATCTAGCTCACTATTATCAAGCTAGATATTAATAATAAAGCTTGCAAAAATATTCATCAAGGCTTCTCGTCACACCTAATTTTTTATGTTTTGGAAAATTAACTATTTTTCATAAAATGTTCAGGTGTAATGGTTTTAGTGCCCTTTGTTTGGTAGTACTAGGAATCAAACCCAAGGACACTCTGTCATTGAGCTGCACCCCAGCCTTTTTATTTTATCTTGAGACAAAGTCTTCAGTTGCCCAGGCTGGCCTTCAACTTGTAATCCTCATGCTTTAGCCTCCCAAGTAGCTGGGATTACAGGCAGGTGCCACCTCCCCCAGCTATAACTATTTTTTAATAGATTTAGTAGATATTTTTAAACTCCTTTGGTTTTTATTTCTAATATGGCCTTTAAATAGATATAAGCCATATCAACAATAGTTTTTGGGTTTCTCAGAAACCGCTTTCTCTGAAAATAAGAGCTAGCTGTAAAATAATCAACCTTGAAAAGTAGAGATCAACAGTGCCAGGTCTGCAGATGGTGGCATGCATCAGAGAGGGCAGCTGCCTCCTGGAGGTGGGAGCCCTCACCCACTACCTAACTGCCAGAGGGGACAGAGCCCTGGCCCAAGAGCCAGACCCTGGTTGGGGAGTGGGGAGAAGGAACAGAAGTGGTTGTTGACCAAACTGCTGACCACCACCTGCTCTGATCCACTGCCCAGACCCCTCCTCACTGGCTGTCAGCATGTGAAATCCCCATGGAAGTGTCTGCCTTAGCAAAAGGCAAATTCTGTCCAAACAAGGCAACACATCATTGAAGCTTACATGAATGTGTGCACAGCACTATGGAAGTTATACAAATACGTACTAAATTTTTTAACAGTTCCACTTTAATGAAAGAACTTGTATCTAAAGCAGGGGTGGAATAGGTATTAAAAAAATCAAAGGAGTCAGCGCACATCTGTAATTGCAGCTAGGAGGCTGAGACAAGAAGATTGCAGATTTGAACTCAGCCTAGGCAACTTTTAGTGACTTAATGAGATCTCTCAAAATAAAAATTTTTTAAAATTTTTTCTAAGGGCTGGGAGTGGAGCTCAGTGTGAAAGCCCTGCATTCAATCCCTAGTCTCTCTCTCTCTCTCTCTCTCTCTCTCTCTTTCACAAATGGAACCAAAATATACAAAATAATTTGAATATACAAACTGTACATGCGCTTATATTAGACGTGTGCCACCAACTAATTCTAATTCGAAAATCAAAGGAAAAACGTTCAATCCCTGCAAGCTGGTTTGAGCATACAGTCAGTCCCAGCAATGGGACACAGACTGCCAGGGCAAGGCGAACCCCGCGTTGTCCACCCCGACCCCTGCAGGCAGAACAGAGATGGATGTTAAAGAGACCCGCAGAGGGGCTGTTGGAGGAGAGGGATGGGTCGTTCCTAACTTGGAACACCGGAAGGCTGCCAGGAGGAGGTGGCGTTTGTGCTGGGCTGTGGGCGTCCCCGGGTCAGAGGAGGGTGGGGACGCCAGGAACAGCAAACGCATGATGGTGTTTTTCCTTCTGTGCACGTCTTGACCGGCGGGTGAGAGGCGCACAAGCACACATCTAGGGTAGGAGAAAAGGAGGCACCCAGCCTGCAAAGCCAGTTTGCAGACACTCACTGTGCGCTGTGCACCCCTGTAGCTCTTTTCCAAGGCCTCAGAGGCTCTAATGTGTTCCGCGGGGACAGCGCGGGGCGACGCTCCGCTCTGGACTTTACGGGTCTGTGGTTGTTACTGCAACTTTTCCTTTCTCGGAATAGAAACTGCGCGTCCTCCTTCGGTCTGTGAGCGACCCCTTTACGGACTGGGTGCCTTGAAGCTCACGCCGCCGAGGTTTTCAGCTCGCCCCGGAGCTCGGAGCTCCCTTGCAAACCGCGATCGCTGGCCCGAACTTGTGGCTTCCGGAGAGAAACCGAAAGGCAGCCTGGGCCGGGCCGGCGACACCGGCACACCGGCGGCCTCGGGACTCAGCCGGACTCGCAGGTGTGGGGGTGCTGGCCGCCGGCCCCCACGGGCCCTCGGCCGGACTGAAGAACGTCACCAGTGTTTTCAGAAAGCAAACACTTTTTTGGCAAGTGCCAGACGAAAAACCTTGCTGCCGTCTCACGATCCTATTTGTATATATATATATATATATATATATATATATATATATATATTTTTTTTTTTTTTTTTTTCTTTTTTTCCTGGTGCTTGGGGTTGAACCCAGGGCCTTTGCACTGAGCCTTATTCCCAGCTTGCTTGCCTTTTTTCTTTCTTTCTTTCTTTCTTTCTTTCTTTCTTTCTTTCTTTTCTTTCTTTCTTTCTTTCTTTCTTTCTTTCTTCCTTCCTTCCTTCCTTCCTTCCTTTCTTCCTTCCTTCCTTCCTTCCTTTCTTCCTTTCTATTTTAAAACAAATTGCTCAAGACAGGTCTTGAGTTTAGATCCTCCTGCCTCAGTCTCTCAGAGTACTGGGGTTACAGGAATGCCCACCATGCCTCACTTACAAATTATTTTTTTAGAGTTATAAATTCTAATATTCAACTAAGTAATATGTTATTCACCCCAGGATATTGAAAAGAAAAAATATTGAACCAAAATACTGAACCAGAAAATGAAATGCTGTGTAGAGAAAAAGTGAAATATTTGGACTGTTAATAAATTTGGGGGAGAAAGATGAAATGCGAAAAGAAAATAGAGCTCAGAGGTGCTGGTTTCAGTGAATGTGCAGCAGGAATGTGCACAGAATGTGAACTCCATTGTCAAACATAATCGATGAATTGAAAAAGCTGGAGTTTTAAAATGCAAAGAATGTGAACCCACTTTCACGTAGTTTGAATATGAAACAATGGCATTCTTTTATTGAAAAGTCTCCCCATTGAGTAAGAAATTTTTACTTTACAAAAGACAACGTGGATTGCAGCCACAATTTTTCCCAAATAGTGAGGAAGCAAATCCCTAGATCCTGGTTACTTTATTAAACTTTAAAGGACTTTGCACTTCATGGACTCTCTGTAGCTGAAAAATCAATTGAAAAAGGACAAGAAAAAAATGCAAAATGGAAAGATTGAGCCCATTTTTGGTAAATGTGAAGAATCTGAAACAAGCATCAGTAATGCTAAATAGTCAAATTTTAAATCTGATTTGAAAATATGTTATTAACAGTGTGAAAAAACAAACCCTGTATGATGAGGGAAATATTGGAATGCTATTGAACACATAGACATAATTTTGGTTTTGGCAAGACGGAAGTTAGCATTTAGTAGATTATCCAAGAAGAGTCTGCACGCTTCAAATTTAAATTTTCTTCATTTACAGAAATCATAGAGGATTCATAGCATCATTGATCCAGAATACAAATATAAGCACCAAATATCATGTAGTCATTATTGAGATATGAAAAAAGAAATAAAATCATTAAAACAACAGATTTGTTAACCAAAATAATTTTGAAAATTTTAAGAAATGCTGAATATCACACAGTTAAATAACTGAGAGCCATCTCTGATGAATGTAGGCCACATGGAATGGTTAATTATTTTTAGACTTGTAAATTTGCAAAATGCAGTTACTTCTACATGTAAACATCTTTTTAAAAAAGCAAAGGGTTTTCCACATCAAATTACATAGCTTGCGAAGGAATATATAGATTTTTAGTAGACTGTACCAGCAACAAAAAAGACTGACTCCAGGCTGGAATGATATAAGGAGGTAGAAACACTACAATCACAAAAATTTTATGACAATCTTAATGGATTTTAACATAAGTCCCCAAACAATTCTAAGATTGCTCATGCTTTAGACCTCTCAGAGAATGACACATCAAACAGTTCTGTAGACCTCCCTGAATTCCTTTTTTTTTTTTTTTCCTTTTGAGACAGGGACTCATTTACACCCTAGGCTGGCCTCCAATTCAAGGCAATCCTCTTGCTTCATTCAGCCTCCAGAATACTGGGGTTTATACATGTGCACCACCATCCCTGGCTTCACACCACTGAATTCTTCTTATATATATATGTACAAAAATGTGTGACTTCAGTAAGATGTTGAAGAATATTGGCATAGCAATAGAACATAATAGAGACTACTATGAAGTATGTGACAGAAAAATCAATTTAAAACTATTGCAATCCAAAAATGTTAATCTGGGTTGGGGATTTAGCTCAGCGGCATAAGCGCCTGCCTTGCAAGCAGGCAGTTGTGAGTTCGATCCCTGGTACTGATAAAAAAAAAAAAAAAGGTTAATCTGAGTCATATGGAATGCCCTTAAAAATCATCTACTAATAAATAGCTTCTTGAATGCAAGCTAATGCTAAATTCTCATTTTTATATTTATTATACTAAATATAGCATAATAAACATATAATATACATATATACTGTATTAATATAAATATAATAAATATTAATGTTTTATATCTATTAAAATATTTAACTATATTTTCCAAATAAATGTTTTTAAATATATTTTCTTGGCACTGACTTGGCATGATATTTTAAATAAAAAATTTGATAACAAATATTAAAATAAGCAGAAATCAAGCATTAACATATAGAATTTCCTTAAAAATACCAATAGAATTAAGAAACTCTTAGAAAAAAATGTTTTTACCAGCTGGGTGTAACCAGCATGTGCCTGTAATCCGAGCACTCGGGAGGCTGAGGCAGAAGGATCATTGCAAGTTCAAGATCAATCTGGGCTACAAAGTGAGCTCAAGGCCAACCTGAACTGCATGAGACTTTGCCTCAAAAAGACAAAAAAAAATTTTTTTTTTATCAAGTTAAAGACAGTGTTCCCGAAATATATGTATAACACTGTTTTTGTATATTGTTCAAGCTACATAAATGGTAGGGTCTTGATACTAATGCCAACTTCTCTACAATGAAAAGCACTAGAAAATGGAAAGAGGAAACTCAATTTAACTGGAATTTGTAGGACCAGAATTGGTACAATCCAAAAGTCAACATCTGAACCAGTTTTTTCTGTGTTGGAAGCAGTGCTATCTCTTTAAAAGAAGTTTGTGTGGGTCAGGAATATAGTTCAGCAGCATAAGCGCCTGTCTGGCAAGTGCAAGGTCCTGAGTTTAATTCCTGGCACTACAAAAAAGTTTGTGATGCTCAAAGACTATGATGATCTTTTCAGATGGCTTGTGTAGTTTGAAAGTGTGTACTTTGAGTGTGTACTTCCACATCTGTTCAGACTATGTGATTGAAACTGACGGCTTCAGCTGGAAGTACGATGTGACTCTGATGTGAGAGGACCTCGACTTCAGTGTCACAAGTCCAGACAGCTCCCATGCCATGCTTCAAAATGTGCATTTGTGGTGCTGCCAAGTGGTACGCTACCAAGTGGTACATCTTACTGAGACTGTTGTACCTCTCAGGTTGCACTAACCATGCAGCCTGCGGTGGAAAATGTAGTTCCTCACATAAGAGTTTTATAAAAGCTACTTATCGATAGCATCCCATTTCTACAGAAAATGAGATACCCAAACATGCAACCACTGAAATAGCCACAGAAAATTTTGTTTTCCTATGCATTATTTTACGACAAAACAGATATATATATATATATATATATATATATATATATATATATATATTCAGAGATTTTGAGTTCCTGACTATTGCAACTAAAATCATCAATTCTATGTTATTTTAGATTCCAAAATTGTGTGTCATTTGTGCGGAACCCACTGAGAGTGCAGAAAGATCCAGCTGTAAAGGAGGATGATTCCCATGTCATTTACAGCCACACCTTCTTAATGCTCGGTAATGGTGGGCTACTTGTGAGGTGTCTAATACATTGGGAAGGAGGGAGGCCTTCAGGAAGAAAAGAGAGAAGAAAAGGGCAAGCAAGGCGGAAGGCTTGAGCTGAATCTTAAGAGCACTGGTGTGGGGCCGACAGTAGCTTTGGAAATGACTCTTTTTAAGAAGTGACCGACCTTCAGAGAGCAGCTCGATCACCAAAAGGCAGCCTGGGCCTCGCGAAGGTGCCTGTGAAACACAATGCTGAAAATACATCTCATGGTAATAAAACATCATTTTTTGTTTTTTTGTACTGGGGATAGAACTTACAACCTTGTGCTTGCCAGGCAGGCGCTTATGCCGTTGAGCTAAACTGCTGGCTAAAACTTTGTTTTTAACCCTCGGTTTTATTTCCAGAGCATCCTCCTGTTCATCTGACACAGTTGTCATTTTCTTGCTGTGCCGAACCCTTTCTAGTGATGACAACTATTTTTAATGTAGATCAGCCGAGTAGCTTTGCAACAAATCTGGCTTTTGCTTTTGGTTTTGCTTTTGGCATCCACTGAGGGCCTACTATGTGCTCCCTGCTTTGAAAGGATCTTGGTCCAGTTATAGATTCTCGTAAACATTCTTCAGTAATTCTAAAAATGCCACACTGTCCCTGGAGTACTGTGTTCTCTATGCTAAGAGTACAATCATTTTGGCTTTGTTTTTTCAAGCCTGACTCCCATAGGTCACAGTCTTTTGGAAGCAGGGGCTTATAAATACCAAAGCAGAAAGACATCTTTGGTTCATTCTTCCCAAATAGCCACCTGCAAGATTAGCTTACCATCTCAGGGGCCTGCATGATAGATTTTGTTAGAAAGAAATTAATTTGAAAACAATATATATGTCTCAATAATCTCCATGACTGATATGTTGAAAGGTCTCTAAAGCATTTGCTTGTCTGTTTCTTCATTTGTCTTCAGGGTAGTTCAATAGGACTTTTGTTCATATAAAACTTTTTCTTGCCTTTTATTTATATCTATACAATGTTAGACAAGTGCTCTTGGCTGCCAGTTCTGGAATGCATTGAACAGGCAGTCAGGACCTGCTAACAGAAACATGAATGAAAAATGGGCTTTTAATTCTTTTTTTTTTTTTTTTTTTTTTTTTTTTTTTTTTTTTTTTGAGAAGGTCTACGTAGTTCACGCTAGACTTGATCTCACTGGGTAGCCCAGGCTGGCCTCGAACTCACAGCAATCCAGCCTACTGAGTTCTGGGATTATAGGTATGCATCACCATGCCTTGCTTGGGTTTTCAGATTCTTACAAATATTATTTCTGTCCCACCTTTCAACCCCAGGATCAAATTTCAAAGCAGAAGATAAAAAAAGAATACATTTCTTTTTAAACAAAGTCTAGTTTTTTTTTCCAAAGACTAGTAGGGTATTAATTGAAGGCTCAGTCTCATGGAACAAATAAAAATCAATATTTGGCCTAAAATCCATTTAGAAGAAATAACTATTACAGGACATGTAAATCGTTCCTCTTGAGGTTTAAAACAAGCAGTGGCAATTCATTTAGAAAAGTAACCTTTACAGGCTTCTTAGGGGCTGGCAGCAGGCACTGAACAAAGAACGTGAGCCTGGTCTGAGTTGGTCCCCCTCCCAGAAGGGGGTCCCTAACGGCCTTTGGATCAATCAGAGCAGACCCTGGAAAGGCCCGGCTGGATATGCAACAGGCTGGCAGAATCCTAAAGAGGAGACTCCAGTCCTTGACCTGCTCTTGTAAATTTAATAGCTTTCAGGGAGGATTCATAAGCAGGCTGATGAAGGAACCTAGCATTCCCATCCTGTCTGACAAACAGACCATGGGGCTTTTAGTAGTCAGAGCCATGATAGCAGACCACAATGCCCAGAGAGGCGCCTGCAGAGACCACTTTGGGGACCACTTCCTGGACAGCAGCCATCAAAAACCCCCAATCCTTAAACATGAACTCGAGGCTTCCTGCCCACCCACACACTGCCTTGTGTTCAGCACATTCAGCAGATACTGGGACAGGAGGAAACAACAGGTTCTGAGGCAGCTTTTAAACAAATCTTTAGTTAGAAAAAGTCCTCCATCCAAACGTAAAGCCAAGCCAGGTGTGATGGCACATAGCTGTCATGCTAGCCCTCAGGAGGCTGAGGCAGGAAGAATCACCGAGAGTACAAGGCCAGCCTGGGCTACAAAGTGAGTTTAGGGCCAGCCTGAACTGCGTAGTGAGATCTCATTGAGAAAAGAAAAAACAAACAAACGTAAAGCCTTTGACTGTAAGCCTAATTCAATTTCCCCAGCCAGACTGTAGGGTCACAGATCATAAAAGTCCTCTTTGTTTGACAGGGGTGAAGCCACTTACCGTAGGCCACTCAAGGAGGTAGGAGCCACTCTAGGACTAGAATGCAAGCGCTCTAAAACCCACTTGGGCTGGTTCCTCACACAACCTAGAAAACTGTAATAAAGAGCACATCAGCACCCACCACTCATCTTCCTATTAAAATAGGCGTGCTACCTAAAACCTCTAATAGCACAAAAGAATTTGCTAATCAATAACCGGGGCCCATCAGCTGGGTTGCCCACAGGCAGCCAGTGCTCTGCTGGCCCTAAGACCCTGCCAGGATGGGGCTGAGAAATAGGACCTCAGCTACTCAGGAGACTGAGGCAGAAGGACTATTTAAGTTCAAGTTCCACTTGACAATTCAGCAAAATTTAAAAAAAATAAGGACCAGTACTATATCTCAGTGGTAGAGCATCCCTGGGTTCCAACCTCAGCCTTGAAAACAAAAGCAAAGCACTTTAGGGCGTCCCTTCCCTTCCAAGTACAAGCGCATTGAGACACAAACACAGGGCACATGGAGGCGAGGCGGGAGTGAGGACCATTGCAGACCAAGGAACCACATATCCTGACAAGGGAAAACCTCACCCCATGAATCGGGCTGAGCCTGCACCTCTACAAAAGTGAGTGACTTGGGGTAAGCCATGAAAGTTTTCTGAGCCCCAGCTTCTTTACCTGAAAAAGCCAACAGTGCCTGTGGAACAGGGTGTCCTGAAGGGAAGTTTAAGGATGCTTGCAGCACCCATGCAGCTGATAGCTTCGGAGCTCAGTTAAGTTAACCCTACACACAGTCCGACTTGCAGCAGCTGGACGGGTTGTACCTTAGAACGAGGGAGGCAATTCCAGATAGGACTTCAATGACACAAGTGACACTTTTTGGAATCAACAATTTAACAAAGGCAAAGTACACGGGAGAGCCTGCTCCACTCAATAGAATGTTCTTGGGGCTCTGGCTGCCCAGGGAAAGGAGTACCTCAGGCTGGGTAGAGGTCATGGGCAGCAAGAGAGGAGGAAAGACGAAGGCCAGGGCCAGAAAAGCCAGAGATGTCTGAGAGCAATATCGTGCAAGCCACATTTAGAATTTAAAATGACCTAGTTGGCATATACAAAGGGAATGGGCAACATTAACTTTATATAGTATAGTTCACTTCGCCTAATATGTTAAAATATTATTCCAGTTTCTGCTCAGCATAAAGACCAGTGACATCTTTTGCTCTTTTTTGCTACAAATTCTCCAGAATCAGTGTACACTTGCCCTGGCACATCTCCCCACACTGGATGGCACAGGAGTGGACAGACTTTTGTCAACACAGCGTGCCACTTCTAGCTCGGATCCTAGCCTCCTGGGACCTGTGGTCTAGTCTGGGATCCAGACCCAGAGACGGGGGCGGGAGTGTCACCCAACAACATTAACCTTGCAGCTTAGTCCTTGTGCTGTGAGCCTCAGACCATCCCAACCACACCAGATCCCTCCCTGTATGCACACAGGCAGTCCCTGGGCTGTGTCTGGTTTAGGGGCTGTAACATATGACACCCCAGTGAGGAGCCTTATTCTCTGACCCCTTTAGACCCTCTGGTCCCTACCTTGTACTGGCTGAGGCAGATCCCAGACAGGTGTGAGAGGCTGCAAGTGAAGCCTCAGCCCTGCACAGAGCCCTTCGCCTGTCTCCTGGGCGAGCAGCGGCAGCCAAAGGAGTCACCCATGCTGCAGAGGCAGCGGCTGACTGCCAGCTACACCCAGCCCGGCGTCTCCCTCACCCCTCCCTCAAGAGCCTCTTCATTTCCTCCACCGCCTGGCCATCTTCACAATCTGTGAGCATGAGCCTCAGCAAAACCAGACATGGAGATTAGCAGGAGATGCCTTAGCGCTTTTTGGAAACCCTTTTCTCTCTCTCTGCAACCCTACCCTAAGCCACATTCTTAACTACTCATGCTGAGAAAGGAATTCATGTTGAGGTGCCACCTCAGTGGGGCCTAGGGAGCCACCTTCCCCACGAATATGGGCATTTTAAAAAGGCAGAATAATAGAAGAGTAGCCAATATTAATTGAGTGCTTACTAGCGGCCAGACACCTTGCTAATAAAGTAATGGCTCACTCTAGAGGATGACTGGACAAAGGTAGGATTTTAAGCAAGGTGGGACACAGATATCTTCCTCCCATGTGACCTGCCTGCAGGGAATAGAGAGGGATGTGAGAGAGTCACACTGAATTTTCCGGGGCTCTGAAGCAGGGGCTGTGGCGTGCCCGCCCCCACCCCCTCCACGCCTCCTCTGGACTCCCCACTTCTTTCTCCTTCACTACCTGGGGGCCTCCGAGCACACACACTCTCTGTGTGCACTTAAGCAGCTTCGTGACTTTAACCATCGCTGCCCCCCAGATGTGAGTCTCCAGCCCAGCAGTCCTAGGAGCACCCATGGATGACAGGATCAACCTGACGGTGCCCCGATATCTCAAACTTAACTGGTCAGAGTCCTTGATACTCTGCTTCCCTACCCCTGAACCCTGCGTTTGGTGAAGGCAACGCTTTCCTCCGAGTGGCTGAGGACAAAGGCTTAGCGGTCTCTCTTTTGTGACTGAACTTTAAAGTAGTTCAGTATGTTCAGCCATGAGAATAACAGCTCCCCGAAAATATTCCTAATCCCAGGAATCTATTACTATGTTACTTTACAGGGCTAAAGAGATTTCGCAGAAACAGTTAAAGGCCTGGAGATGGGAAGATTACCCTTGATTATCTGCACAGTTTTGAGAAGGAAATAACCTTTCCCCGCTGGGGTCAGAGGGACTCCGGGGAAACACTGAGCAAAGAGACCACACTGCTGATTTTGAAGATGGGGAAAGGGCCCCCAGCAGAGGAATGTGGGCTATTCCCAGGAGCTAGAAAAGACAGGGGAACCCACAGATCTCTTTATTTTTCTTTTTCCAGTGAGACCTGTTTCAAGCTGTGTGATAACGAATTCATATTGTTTTAAACCACTGTGTTTGTGGTCACTGGGCACAGTTACAATACAAAACTGATAAACTAATAGGGTTGCTTGATTCAAAAAATACAAAATAGTGCACAACAAGTCTTCCTCTCAACCTGTCCCTACCTATCCACTTCTTGTCTCAGAAAGTCCTTAATGCAACCGATTTCTTGGTGTCTCCTTCCAGCGATATTCCATGCATTCATGTTGTCACCGTTGGTTTTTTTTTTTTAAAGGGTAACATACTGTTCTATTTTTTTCAAGCCACTATGTTTTCCAGAGGGGATTGGTTTACGGTTTTTTCACTGTTTTGTTACAGCTCTTCTGCCTTCTGTTCATAGCCATTACTGTGGACTGTCTCTCATTTTGGTCATAGCCAAGCTTTCCAATCACAAACAGTGCTGCATGCACAAATGTCTTGATGCTTTGCACCAGACGGTGACAGAGGGAGAAGTTCCAGGAGTCCTCCTGATCCTTCCTTTCCTCCGTCTCCATCTCAGTCGTGGGTGTAACCTGTGGTTCTATCTCCCGCCGCTTTCCCACCCATCCACTGTGCATCCACTGCCAAGCCAGTATCTTCTCCTGCAGGGGCCATCGCAGTGAGCACATCCACATGAGAGTGTGTCAGGAGGGCTCCGACATCCTACAGTCACATCTGGCCATTTGAAGAAGGATTATCTTGGACCTCAGATCTCCTGTCTCTGAAAAAGACTCAATGAGACGAAGCATGCGGATTTTTCTGTGAATGATAAATGGTGTTTGGAGCTCCCTTTGGAAACCTGCTCAACCTTTTTTAACCTGTCAAAAGGAAAGTCAGATGAGTGTCTTGGTGTCTTAAAATAGGTGTAGTCTTAATTACATCTTCTTTCTGTGGGTTTCCAGAGGAGTTAACAGTCTAGAAACAAAATAAGAGGTCTTAGGAGTAGAAATAAATTCACCATGAAGGAGCGAGCGATTGAGATTGAAGTTCAACTTTTATCCTACACATAGCCTAAGAACTTCCCAGAGAACTCTTAGTAAAAGCCTCGGTAACTTTCCAGAACAAAATACACAGATGAGTAATGACCTTCAGCATGTATTTCAGCTTGTTAATACAAACAGGAACATAAGCATGAACTGTAGATAGCAGAGGAGAGGCGTGTTTACCATCACCGACGGGGTAGAACAGCTTCCTGGGCTTGAGCCTGGTTCCATCATCACCAGCTATGTGACTTTGCATAATGCCTTTCATGTGCCTGGGCTCCTTAACTTTAAAACACCTACAGTAGTGTGTGGCAGCAGAAGGTACAGGTCAGAGCCAGGCACCTACCCTGTCCACGTGACCCCACCAATGTCCTTGTCTAAGGGTTCAGCTGAAGTGAAGCCTCGGGCTGGACAACATGGAGTTCTCACATCATTCTGCAAGGAAATCACTCTTCTTCTCATACAGTGGAGGAATCAGTGGCTCCAAGACATCCCTGCTGCCACACAACCATCTGTTAAGTGGCAGAGCTAGAATTCAAGTGCTAATTTGTCTGCTTTTGAAGTCTGGTCTCGGGAGCAAGCACAAATTGTTGATGATGGCAATGTGCAGCCGCTCTCTGGCAAGCCCAGCCCGTGAACTTCTCTTCCTGCAATTACAGCAGAGTCATGTGCACACACATGTGCACACACACGCGCAGGGGCAAGGTTGAGGTGAGAAACTTCCATGCTGCCTGAGCCCGCTACTGGCTGGCTGTGTGGCAGTAATTTCTGACCTGGAAGTCACTTTTCCAGGGTAAAACCGACAGGAGCTGTGGAACTAACTCAAACAAATGAATTCTTGGCATGGTGAGAGCCTGCATAAGCATTTATTGCCAGATTCCTTCTTTTTCAATAAACGTATGGCATGATTACATGAAAGATTAATCTGGGTGTGGGGGCTAACAGAGGTGGGGGGGTTTGCACCTGTCAGCAATGCAATGACCATTCTTGTGAGGCCAAGTAGAAAATGCTTACAAAGACTAAGCAATGAGCTTTCCCATCCTGCAGCCCACACCTCCACACCACACCTGCATGGCCCTTGCCTTTTTTTACTTTAAAAAATTAATTTAAAAATTAATTTTATTGGTACATTTTAGATAACGTACCAGGATCTTTTAGCGCTTTTTTTTTTTTAAATCGGTACCAGGGATTGAACTCACGACCGCATGCTTGCAAGGCAGGCACTTAAGCTGCTGAACTAAATCCCCAGCCCCGATAATGTACCAGTTTTAGATAATGTGCATAAAGATCACATTTATCATAGTATTCTGTCTCTCAGCCTCTGTCTGTCTATCCGTGTGTGTGTTTCTCTCTCTGGAAAACATTCTAAAATTAAGACCCTAGAGTCACCCAATCTAGTACCATCAACTTTAAAGTCAGGTAAACCCAGCTGGTATCTTGGTTACAGCACCTTATGCAAGTTACTTAAACCCACTGGGTCTCAGTTACCTCACCTATAAAGTGGCCTTGCAGGTCCCTGCCTGATAGGACTGGCATGAGACCTGAATGAACTGATGCTTGCAAACTCCTCCACTCAGAGTCTAGCACACAGTTTATGCCCCTAAAATGTTCCGTGTTATTTCCAATCAACCAAGTTCTTCAATTTCATCAGCAAGAAAGCTGCAAGCAAAGAGCAGTGTTCCATTTACAGTCAGGTGGCCAATTAGTGGCCAAGCCAAGACTGGATCCAGATGTCCCTTCCCAGGTCTTTTTTATTCTCTCAGCCACACAGTATGGTGGATTTTCCTTCCTTCATCAACTCCAACCAGAAAGGAACTGAACATCTTCACCTAGAGCTGGTGCTATAACCAGACCAAGGGCCAAGAGCGCCCTATAGCCCCAGCCTCCCTGTCACCCGGAGCCACAGCAACACACTGTCCAGAGTTATCTCCCCATCCAACTACCTCTGTCTTCAGCCTGGTACATCTGGTTCCCACAGGGCTCTGAACAGCTATCCACCTGTCCTGCAGTTCGACCAATCAGCTTTTCCAAGCCTGGACCAGTCAAACCTCAGCTCCCAGGAATGGATGTAAGAAGGAAGGGGGAAGAGGCCTGGGAGGAGGGAGGAGCAGGGAGGGCTCTGACCTGCCCACTTCAGCGGCTCAGAGACAAGGATGCTACAACTCTGTAGCGGAAAGATCCAGGGCTAGAAGTTAGAAGGCCTGGGGCCTCATCCTAGCTCATCCTAGCTCTGCTATAAATGAGCTACAGGCTCTTGGGCCTGTTGCTATGCCTCCCTGTGCCTTGAATTCCTCATCTGCTGTGTAGGTTTGCTTGAGGATCTCTAAGAAGCCTTCTAGCTCAAGTTTTTCCCTAGCAATGATCTTCAGTCTCTGCAGCACAGTGGAGTCTGATGAGCACTGTCAGAAACCTTATTTTGCATATTTAATCTTCCTAAACACCTGCTGGTGTAAACCAGATAATTGGCAGATGACAAGACTAACTAGTGTGAGAAAATCACAGCAGAGTTTAGTGCAGGAACGAATGGTCTCAGCTCAGTCCCTCCCAACCTCCGCTTCCCCTTCTGGGGTGAACAGACCTGTGTCCCCAGGGAAAGGTCAGAGAGATGGGCTCCTGGGAAAAGAAAGAATGCTAAAGAGGCTTTGTTGCTTTGAGTCAAGATCAAAGGACTAGGCGTTTCTCCTCTTTTTGGAAGTCTACTTACCAATTCTGGACCCTTAGGAAGATTTGATTTAGCCTCACATTCCAAGCTTTTGTACTCTTTGACCTTCGGATGCAGAAAGCAGAGGCCATAGCTGTTAGGAATCATCTAGAACACCAGCTGGCCAGGGCAGGGCTAACCCTAGACCTTGACCTCTTAATTCCTACTTCAGGCCTGTGCCCCCTGGAAGCATGGGCACGTGTGACAGGGGCCGTGTCCTGTGCTGCTCTGACTCAGAAAGGCTGACCAACTGGAGGCAGGGTAAAGAAAGGCTTTTCCTGATTTTAGATAACTTAGTCCCAAACCCCTTCCACCTCCACCCATCCTTGGCCCCACTTGCCAATTGAAGGTCCTGTTGTGCTTGGGCACTGTTTGTGGGTTGCCCTGTAGCTCCCCCAAAAGGCACATGTTGAAGTCCTAACCTCCAGCACCTCAAAATGTGACCCTTTCCAGAGTTAGGGTCTTTGAAAAGGCATTGAGATTAAATGTGGTCTTCAGGAGTGTTAGCCCAACGTGATGAGCATCCTTAGGAAGAGAGGGGATGAAGACACAGGGGACAACCAGGGGAAGACATGGAGCAGCCTCAGAAACAGCCAGCACCCACTGCACCTTCTCCGGGACTTCCAGCCTTCCAGATCATGAAAAAACAAATGTCACTGAAGCTGTGCAGCCTGTGGTGCATCATCCCAGTGGCTCCGGAAAACCAGCACAGGCCCTTGCGGCAGCCCTGTCCCCTTGCTGAGCTTCAGTGTATCATGCAGGAGCTAAGCCAAAATTTTTTGGGTCCAAAAATGCTCAGTAGATTTCTAAAAAGATGAGAACGCCCCCAGACCTTTGACCCCTCTGTGTCCCCAACATACCCAGTTCCAGATTCATCAAGTCCTTAGAATGAGGGAGGTGTCCCCACAAATCCATAGCCAATCTCCCCACGTCAGGGCTTTTTGGCATGGCTAGCATCTGCTTCTCATGAGTGATGGAAAGATAAGCTGCCTTTGGGGCAACTGAGGGGATGAAGAGAGAAGAAGATATAGGAGAAAACAGACAGATTCATACCTCGAATGACAATCCTGCCACACATACGACTTTTGATTTCTGCTGCTCTGGAGTCTTTACCTCTGCCACTCATGGTAGCAGGTCCACAATGGCCTCTGAGCATCCTAGGACACATTGCTGCCACAGCCAATTAACACAGAGTGTGGGGTACCAGAGACCCTGGGAGAAGCTGAACCTGGGATCACATGGACTCCCGAATTCCACCCCAGGCTGACACCCCCATTGAAGTAGTGGAGGGGTGCAGGGTGGAGAAGGAATGGCTTGTTACACATGCTGCTTGCTCTGGGCATGCCTATTAACTCAGGCCTTATCATTGGGTCCTCAGACTGGGCAGGGCAGGGCAGATCTAAGCACCGGAAGAGTTGGTTCCCCTGCTCTGTGTGAAAGGAGAAAAGAGGAGGAAGACGGGCCTCTGCAGGAGAAAAGCTGCTGCTCGGACCACGATGAAAACGTTTCTGCTGTTACTGCTGGTGCTCCTGGAGCTGGGACAGGCCCCAGGAGCCCTTCACAGGTGAGGTGGTATCCCAGCCCTGCGCTCAACTGAGGGACACCCTCTCCCATGCAGGGCTGCCTGGGGAAAGAAAGCTGATGGGGAGGGAGAGAAGAGAAGAGGAGGGAGAGAAGAGGAGAAGAAGATCCCTGGGAAGGTTTTCCGGTGGCCACGTGTGGCCTTGATCTCCAGCCCCCAGTAAGTCAACCCCTGGTTCCACCTGCAGTGGAGGCACTGCCTGCACCTCAGGTCGCTGCTTAGCTTGCAAAAGACCAGGAGCCTGCAGCTGTGGTGTGTAGCTCGAAAGCCTCACATAATTTCCTCTCAAATATAACTGGATGTCACTGTCCCCAGGAGTTCCTCTGTACCTTTAAATCAGCCCTTCAAGGGATTCAGGTAAAACTGTAGATCATTCTGACTCTCATACCTCAGAAGACCTCACAGAGCCCAGGGGGAGAGCCTTGCCCACTCTGAGATTCTGAGAGTCCTCAAGGCCCAGGATAGCAGGCTGGGGTCAGAGAGAGACCCTTCAGGTCCCTCTGGGGTTATTCACTAGTTATCCCAGAGAGAATGCAGTGGGAGGGGTGGGAGGAGAAGAGGAAGGCTGGGCTGTACCCCTCTTTATACTGGCTTTGTCTATAGGGTGCCCCTCAGCCGGCGTGAGTCCCTCCGGAAGAAGCTGCGAGCCCAGGGACAGCTCACTGAGCTCTGGAAATCCCAGAACTTGAATATGGACCAGTGCTCCACCATCCAGAGTGCCAATGAGCCCCTCATCAACTACCTGGATGTGAGGCCTCCCGGGATGGGGGCTGGGGAGAGGGAGAAAGACAGCTTTAGCCACTTCAGCCTCAGCCCTGAAGACCTTTGCAGATTCTGCTACTTGGGTGATTTGTATGGTCTGATCCCCAAGGCCTCAGTGCAGAGAGCTCTCTGCAGGAGGAAAGGGGTGAAGGTGACAAGCACCCAAGAAGGGAAAAGCCTGATTCTGCTCTCAGATGGGCAACTTACAGGTTCTGACATTAGGCAAAGAGCTTGGCTTCCCCAGCCCCGGTTCTCTGATCCGTAAAATAGACCCACTTCCCTTGCCTTGCTTATAATGTTATTAGGGAAATCAGGATAATATGAGTAAAATCAAATCCAGTCACTAGGGGCTTGGCTTGGCTTCTCTCATGCCCCTCTCTTGGGTCCTCTTACATTTTCTTTCCTAAGTTCTCTAAATTCCAGTTCACAAACTCCAGCTCTGGGCCTTGACATCCCCCTTGGACCCTGCCGGACACTCTCCCCTCCTCACCACCCAACCCTCCTTCCCTCCTCCCTTCCCTGCAGATGGAGTACTTCGGCACTATCTCCATTGGCTCTCCACCACAAAACTTCACTGTCATCTTCGACACCGGCTCCTCCAATCTCTGGGTTCCCTCTGTCTACTGCACCAGCCCAGCCTGCCGTAAGTAAGACCAGGAGACCCAGTGGGAAGCAATGTGGCCTGTCCTAGGAGGGCAGGTCTGGTTCTGTAGGGGTGAGGGACTTAGGTTCCCGAAACCGGCCCTCCCCACCACATCAACTTCCCACCCCATCTCTGGATCTGCCAGGAGCTGCTTACTATCCAAATAGGGCTAGGTCAGGAAGAGAGATAAAATTTGGCTGCTATACAAAGTAGCAATTTTCATACTGGTCATGATTAATAGGGAGAAAATTAGCCACTGAAAAGAGAAATCTTTAAGTTGATGACTCACTTCCTTTGGAACAGCCAAGTGAATATAGGAGAAAGTTCCATTTGACTGAGTCTTTCTAGGCAGGTAGATGGGTGGGATCCAAGGAGCTTTGGCCTTTCTCCCACAAAGCTAGGGCTTGCAGGGCACTACAGCATGTGTGTCCATTAGGAAGTAATTTAGGGGCTTCGGTGAAGACTGGAAAAAGAGCAGAAAGATGTCTTGTTCTGAGAAGGACAATTCCCAGGGACAGAAGGTTTCTGGAAGTTTTGAAGTTAGGAGTTCCCAAGGTTGGGCAGAGTTGGGAGTAATTTCCTGGAGTGGTAATTGTTTACCCCTCAGTTTCTTTGAAGGCAAGCTCTGACCCATACTATGTCTGGAGCTGCTTCTGGCGCCTGATAAATGGTGCTTATCTTGGTGTGCCTCATGAGGTCATTGCGGGCAGTCAGGTTTGCCCAGGAACAACCATTTGGTTCCAGGTGGCCACACCTGTAACTTGGGGAGAATGTGACACCTCACTGGAGAGTGCCATTGCCAGCCTTTCCAGGGGTCCCCACGCAGTATCAGAAGCTGAAGGAAGAGACCCTGCATCTCTGGGGCAAGGATGAGTGCAGTGAGCTGGGTCTTTGCTTTCCAGAAACGCACCCCGTGTTCCACCCTTCCCTGTCCAGCACCTACAGGGAGGTGGGGAATTCTTTCTCCATTCAGTACGGGACCGGGAGCTTGACTGGGATCATCGGAGCCGACCAAGTCTCTGTGAGTGTGACCTCTTCACCTTTTCTTCTTTGCCCAGAAGCTTAGAGGACAGAACACTGTTTGGAAGTCTTAAGGGGGCACTGTCAGATCTGCCACAGGAAGAGGTAGAAAGAGGAGAAGGGCTTAGATTCTAGGGAAGAGAGAAGCAGCCACAACCCCTTCCCAGACAGCGGCAGGGGATCTGTCGGCTCACACCCCTGGCCCTACAGGGCTGGCTCAGGGGTCTCTCACAGGAAGCACTGCCCTGTGCATGTCACCTGTGGTAGGGCTGGTTCACCAGTCTTCAGGCACATGAGGAGGCCAGACAGAAAGATAAAGAAGTCCAAGGCACAGGGCAAGGACTTATCACTGAGGACTCAGTTAATGAAGGGGGGACAGGGTTGGAAATAGAAGTTCAACCTGGGCCACAAGGCAGAATGCAGAGGTCAAAATAAACACCCAAGGACTTGCTAGCTGCCTCTCAAACTCTCCTTGACCAAAGGACCAAGGAGTCTTGGGTCTCTAGAATCAGACTGATGTGAAAACAGAACCCAGAGAATCCTGGTGCTCCTGGGGACCTCACACGGGTTTATGGGCTACAGCGCATATGCAGGTCTTGGGGAACCTGAAGTGGATCTGCTTCCTAGAGCATCACTTCTGTTTTGGGGTCACCTCAAACTGGTAGGGCCAAGCCTCCATCAACATCCTTTCAAAGTGAACAAGGATAGGATGCATTATTAGGTGAAAAAAATGCCAAAGCAGAAAAACACTTTGTATGATGTAAAGAATGATACATGCAAAATCCACAGATAAAAGGAAACACTACAGGAATCCTGTGTGTATTTAAAAATACATTGTACATGTATATGTAAAAGTACATATAACTCTTCAGAAGGCTACATTCCAAGATGACTACTGTAATGACTTCTGGAAAGCAGGGAAGGGAGGGAAACTGGCATGGACAAGAGAACCCAGCCCCCTGTTGGCATGGGGGGGCAGCCACACCCTCAGCAATTCCACCTTCCAGGCTTCCCCATTTAGTGCTTCTGGCTCCAGGGCCAGATGTATGCACATCTGTGACAAACAGGCTGAGATTCTGCTGCAGGACACCCCTCGTCATAGAGGTTGAAGGTTTGGGCTGTTAGAGAACAATGGGGATCCCCATTCACCCTCATGGGTTCCAATTCACCCTTCTTCCACTTAATGTCTGTCTTCTTTTTCTGCTGTCAAAACTGCAGACCCTGGGCTGCAGCCACATTATGGTGGTTACATTCCACAATACGGCGTTTAACTGACACTATGATGGCAGATAGTCAGTGACCTATATGTAAAACTTGCCAAAATTTGTGGACGCTGTCCTTAGGTGATAATTAAAAGCTGAAGTGCCTATAACAGAAAAATCAATGATTTAAGCATCTATGTCAAGCAACAAAACACAAGAAAATCACTATCAAAAAACATCAATCCAAACCCCCCAAAAATAGAAGAAAAGTGTAATAAAGGGGAAAAAATAAAACAACTAGGAAAGTCATTACAAAGAAAACCAATAAAACCCAAAATTAACCCTTGCAAAGAATAACAAAACTGATAAATCTCTAGTATGACTAGTTAAGAAAAATGAAAGAAAATACAACTTAATATCAGCAACGAAAAGAGGATATTACTTACAGACATTAAAATAAAAGTATATCAAGAATAGTTTTATTGATGAATTTTAGAATTTAAAGAATAGAGAAATATATTGAGAAACATTATATCAAAACTGACATAAGGAAAAAGAGAATGTAAATACTCCAGTGTCTATTGTAAATATTGACTGTTGAACATATTTCTGCAAAGAAAACTCCAGAGCCAGGTATCCTCACTGGTAAATTCTTCTAAACATTTAGAAAAGAAGTAACATCAATCTTGTAACACTCTTCCAGAGAGTCAATAAGCGAAGAACATTTCATAATCCATTTTATAAAGCATAACTTTAATGATAAATCCTGGAAAAGATAAGAATTAGATATTCTCTTATGAATGTGGATACCAAAGTTCTAAACAAAATATGTATTAGTAAATAAAATCTTGTAATGTACAAAAGGATAATACATTTCAACTAAGAGTCCTCTCTTGCTAAGAATTTATCGTCTAACAAAATAAAAATAGAAGTCATATGATAATCTCCATTGGTAAAACTCAACATCTATTCATGACTTTAAACAAACTATGAATAAAAAGTAAGTTTCTTCATCTGATTTTTTTAAAAGCCTACAAAAAGTCCCACAGCAAACTTTATGCTTACTGGTAAAGTGTTGAGTCTTTTCTCTGAGACCAAAAATGAGACAAGAATGCTCCTTTTTCTTACTTTTATTCAATTTTGTGCTTAAGATCCCAGCCAGTGTAACAAGGCAAGAAAAAATAAATTAAGGGCATTAAGGTTGGATAGAATAAAAACACTTTCATTAGCAAAAAATTCTATCTGTAAAAAAATGTTTTAAAAATTACAGACAGAACACAGGGATTATAAATAAGTAAATTTAGTAGAGTTGCTGAGGTCAACTATAAAAATCATCTGAATTTCTGTGTAGCAGGAAAAATTGAAAACAGATTTTAAAGACTGTATTTATATCACCAAAAATATCAGTTAAGCAGAGAATGATTGCCTATTTCTATTATCCCAGCACTCTGAGCAGCTAAAGCAGGAAGATCTCAAATTCTTGCCCAACCTGGGCAATTTAGCAAAATCTCTCTCAAAATAAAAACTAAAAAGGGCTGTGAAGGCATTGGAAAGTTTTTACGATGAATAAACATCAACCATTTTGAAGTAAATTTAGCAAGATACATACAAGACCTCCGTTCTATAATCTGTAAAACATTATTGAGTATTAAAAGAGCCACATAAATGGAAAGATAAATCATGCTTGTAAATTAAATGACTCAGTTTTATAAAGAAGTAAAAAAAATTTCAAAATGATCTATACATGCAATATTACCTCAATCAAAACACACCAACCAAAACAATGGCATTTTTGTGAGTAATTAACAAGGTGATTCTAACATTTATATGGATGTAATGCAATACACCAAGAATATCCTGATAAAGAAAAACACAGCCAAATATTAACACCTACTTAAAGCTATATTTAGTGTTACTGAAGTTACAAAGCAATCAGAACTCTCAAGTTATTGATAGTAGAAACACCAGTGTTTTAGAAAACTCTATAGTACAGTTTTTCAGTAGAACATGTTTATGCCCTATGATCTTCAGTGTTTACTGAGATTACAAAGCAATCAGAACTCTCAAGTTATTGATACTAGAAACACCAATGTTTTGGAAAACCCTATAGTACAGTTTTTCAGTACAACATGTGTATACCCTATGATCTTCAGTGTTACTCCTAGGCATATGTCCAACAGAAGTCACACGTTTCCCTCAGATGAAATACATTAATAACACTGCTAGTACTAGTCAATCACAGGAATCAACTGAAACATCCGTGTATAGTAGAACGGGGTAAGTTATAGTGATAGGTTCATACCATCGAATAATAAAGTGAGAAATGAACAAATTATGGAAGCATTCAGTGTTGAGCGACAGAAGCTGAATATCAGCATCGTACTGGTTGACTCAACTTGTATAGAATTAAAAGCCGGCAGAACCAATATATGTGTTGGAAGTCAGGAGGGTGGTACTCTCGGCAAGTGAGGCAACGACTGACTGGCAGAGTGTATGAAGGGGCTCTGGGGCTAGGGATGTCTTGTTTCTTGGTTTTGGAGCTAGGTTACATGCGTGTGTAAGGTGTATGAAAGAGTATCGAACCATATACTTATAATTTCTGTATTGTGTTTAGTTCCTTCAAATTTAGATAAAGAAATGAAGAGGGTGGGAATTTGGCAACAATCATTGTATCCATTTAATCAGGAAATGTTGAGGAAGGGAGAATCAGCTGCAGGACGAGGGAGAACACAGGAATCTGAGACCCTCCGTCAGGTCCTCCCATTTAATTCTCCTGTGGGCCTTTTCCATCAGGTGGAAGGACTCACTGTGGTTGGCCAGCAATTTGGAGAAAGTGTCCAAGAACCGGGCAAGACCTTTGTGCATGCAGAGTTTGATGGGATTCTGGGCCTAGGCTATCCCTCCTTGGCTGCTGGAGGGGTGACCCCTGTGTTTGACAACATGATGGCCCAGAACCTGGTGGCTCTGCCAATGTTTTCTGTCTACATGAGCAGGTAAGTCCTGCTGAGCCCACCAGGTCCAGCTGCTGAAGACTCCTAGGGGACAGTGTAGGACAATAAGCTTAGCCATCAAAGATCTGTTTGGATCTCTTGCTTGGCCTGTTACCAGCTGAGTAATCCTGGGCACACAAGCTCTCTGAATTTTGAGGCATGGTATCTGCCTCAAAAGGTCATTGTGATACATATTTTGTAAACTTTAGCACGATGGGTTGAATTTCTTGATCTCTGTAATTGGTTACTGATTCATGCAATTGATATCAAGCTTTTATTATATGTTGAGCACGATAGTAGACACTGGGACATAAAGAAAGAAGAATAGTTCACACAGTTGGGGGAGGCAGGCAAAATTATAAAGCAAGCCAACAATAAAATAATTATATACTAATGGGTATATTCTTACCACAGAATATTATTTAGTCTTGAAAAAGAAAGAAATTCTGTTACACACTAGAACATGTATTAACTTTGAGGGCATTACACTGAAAGAAATAAGCCGCTCACAGAAAGACAGATACTATATGATTGTACTTTTACAAGGTACCTTAAGTAATCAAATTTACAAAGGCAGAAATACAATCAGGGTTACCAGGGACCAGTGGAAGAGGGAGAAAGGGTTCTTGTTTAATGAGTATACAAAGTCTTGGTTCTGCAAAATACAAAGGTCCTAGAGACTGGCTTTAAAACAGTGTGATTGTTCTTAGCACTTCTGAGCAATGCACTCAAAATCAGGTGACAGTAGCTTCTATATTACGTGCATACTACCACAAATTACAAAAATATAGTTACAAATTACACATAGAAGTTGAAAAGATATTGGGAAAGATCTAGCTACTACCTACCTACTTTATGACAGGTCACCTCATCTTCTTCCCCGCTCTGAAAGGAGCTCTCATATCTCTCAGACCCTTTCCCAGGCATGCCTGGCTTGAATTCACCTCTGATGGGTCAAGCCCATGTGCCCTGTCTTGTCCCACAGTAAGATCCTGAAGTCGCTCTCTTGAGCTGTGCTGTGTCCCCACACGACTGTGGCTGAGACCAAGCCCAGGCAGCTCTGGAGACAAGGCAGGGCTTCTACTTCTGCCCAGCCTGTTTGGAAGCTCAAGCTGTGGTCTGCAATAGCAAGGTTTGCAATCAGCCTGGCCCCGACTTAAGTCCCATGACTTACATGGCTTAGTCTCCCTAAGTCTGTTTCCTCAAATGGACTCTAGGTGAGGTCTAGGTTGAGTTATGGGACAGGTAAAATTCTTATTACGATATCTGGTCCAAAGGCCACAGACCAATGTTAGTTCCTTCCCCCTCTTGGTCTCTAACACCTAAAATTCTTACACATACTCAGTTCATCCCTCCATTACCATCCTGCCTGGGACGGCTCTGAATTTTGTGTTTTTATGACCCTTTTCCTTGAGAAAATGAATTTATTTTATGTCTTATTTTCCCAGAGTAGTGCTAACATAAGAAATCAGTACCAGTAAAAATTAGTCACTATTTAAGTTCCAATAAATGAGGTTGCATTCAAAATATCTTCTTTGTCTTGACACAAAGGAGTGAATAATACAGAAACCCCAATGCCACTCCCACTATATGGGGGCAGATAATCTGGGGAAATGCATCTTTGGGGTGTGCTTCAGGTCACACCCAGCATGGTCCTGGCCTCGACATTGCACAGCTTCTGTGTGTCCAGACTCTGGGGCTCCATTTCCCACCTCCATGACCTTTTTGTCCAAGAAACAGAATGACTTTCACAAATCACTGAGCAGAATGCTAAGGGGCACACATTGCCCGTGGTGGAAAAGCCACTGGGCTGGTTCCAATTTCCAGTTCTGCCCTGAAGCAGCAGTAAGCTTCAGGCAAGTGGTATAAGCAGGTTTGCATAGTGCCAGGTGGAATGTATCAATAATCCCCTCAACTACAAAGTGGAATGGAGAAATTATGCTTGAACCAATGTGTGGTGGTTGGAGGTCCCAATGGGCAAGACCAGGCTGATGCTTCTGCCCTGTCTACCTGGCATGAGTGCCCAGACCATGGAGCAAAGAGTCCTAGCTAAGGCTACCTGCACCTTTCCAAGGCCACTCCTTTACTAAGTGCCTTTCCATGCAGTAACCCAGGTGGCTCAGGCAGTGAACTGACCTTCGGAGGCTATGACCCCTCCCATTTCTCGGGGAGCCTGAATTGGGTCCCAGTCACCAAGCAGGCCTACTGGCAGATTGCCCTGGATGGGTGAGTATCTTGCATGAAACTGTTGCAGTTCGATAGAACTCTCAAAATCTCCCAATCTCAAACTGGATTCAGAGGGTGACACTGCTGGTCCCTAGGAAAGATACTGGGCCGCCCTACTTGTGTGGGTTGGAGGTAGAGGTACCAAATAAAGGAGCAGAAAGGGCACAGGCCACTTATGCCTGTGGTCATCTCTACTGCAGACAGTGAATAGTGGCATGCAGCCTCCTCCCCTTCAACCATCTAACCTTAAACAAACACACAGCCCTGAGCCACATGGGAATGTGGAGGTGGATTTTGTCCTCATGAAGCTCATAGAGAAGACAAGGCATGCACACAAATCGCTGCCACATGAAGTGAAAGCAGTCAATGCCCCAAGATAGAAGCCACCAAAGGACAAGACTGCTTCTATCTGAGGACCCCTCAAGGGTTTTGTGGAAGCAAGGTCTTGAAACTGAGCCTTGGGGACAGAGCAGTTGGGGAAGTGGGACCAGAGGCTCACTTCATACCCGTAGCGCTGGGCTAGACAGTGTAGGAATTCAAAAACGGGAGCTTTGGTTTCAATTCCTGCAAGGTGTCAAGTGTTTAGGATAAAAGTCAAAGGCTTCAGAGCTCACTGTCTCATGCGGGCTTTTTAAGACTGCAGGAATTTACCCATGTGGGGTCATGATATCATTTTAGGGATACTGACCTTCATTTTTCGAAAGGAATACAGCAGGAAATATCAGTGTATTTCATGAGAGAAAGATAGAGACAGAGACAAAACTATGGCAAAAAGTAAGTATATTTCATATAGCAGATCTCAAAAAACCTTTGAGAAATATATAGTTGGCAGGAGAGATGTGTTAACAGAAATCATTAACATGACGTGCCTGGAGTTCTCCCTCTGGAGCCTGATGGGGAGAATTGCCAGGGACCCCAAGGAAGGGAGGTTGACAGCAGTGCCTTTTGCTCCCAGAATCCAGGTGGGGGACAGTGTGATGTTCTGCTCCGAGGGCTGCCAGGCCATTGTGGACACAGGAACTTCCCTCATCACTGGCCCTCCTGGAAAGATCAAGCAGCTGCAAGAAGCTCTCGGGGCCACATACGTGGACGAAGGAGTGAGTGCCTGCCCGGGCCAGGGGTACGGGGGAAGGAGAGCTCAGGCTGCTCTTGGGAGCCACTGAGTGCACCCCCATGTTCTGCTTTAGTATTCTGTGCAGTGTGCCAACCTCAACATGATGCTGGATGTCACTTTCATCATCAACGGGGTCCCCTACACGCTCAACCCAACCGCCTACACCCTGCTGGTAAGCTGGGTTTCCTTATCGGCATGTCAAGGGCCTTCCCCACGCCCGTCACTTCCCCTTTTCAAACGGTCACCCACACTTACAGCTGTGTCTGCCTGAGCCCCCCTCCCACCTCATCCTGCTCTGGTGGTGTGACATTCCCTCCGAGAGGGACACGCTGCCCATGGTGGAAAAGCCACTTCACTGGCTCCAATTTCCAGTTCTGCCCTGGAGCAGCAGCAAACTTTGAGCAAGTGGCATAAGGAGGTTTTCACAGTGTCAGTGGGAAGTTCTCAGTGGACAGTTTTAATCTCCTTAGCTACCAGGTCCAGCTGGACACACTGTGGGCCCATTTCCTAGATGAGGGTATGAAGAACTGGCAAGTTAAGTAAATGGCTCAGGATCTGAGCTGCTTGGGGAGGGATGTGGGATAAGGTTATACTGCTCACAGCATGTGAATTCACATTCCTCCTCAAGCAAGAAAATGGCTTTTATTGCAGTAAATTGTCAAGATTGGAGGGTGAGGTGGAGAGGAGATTCCTGGGCATTTGGGAAACTTATGATTGTTTCACAGCACCATTGACCTAGATTTTCAGGGTTGAGATTCTTCAGCAACACATTTTCCCCAGAGTCACCTTTGTACCGGGGTGTCTGTGGCAGAATAGAGGGGTTGAGGTTTAGAACAGCAGCGTTAGCCTTACCCCTACGTCTTGAATATCACTATCTCCTTCTCAGAGCTCCTCGTATGAACAAACAGTCCAAGTAGATGCAATGTTTGCTTTAAAATACAGCTTCATGTAATCTCTGGCGGCAGAGGAAATGTGGACTCTCCTGGTCCATGAAGGGTGCTGTAGGATCTGTGAATTCTGAGCCCTCTGTCATTTCCAACCCCCATCCCCATCAGCAACCTCAAATTTCAAATGATTGCTGAAAAGACCACACCCATCTTGTAGATTCCAAGACTTTACCAAACTAAAAAACAAGAGTGGGGGTCCTTCTCTCAGAACAAAGGAAACCAACTTGCCACGTGTCTAAAAGGGTTCAAGCAAAAATTCTTCCCAGAATATCAAGAAACAATAGCAGTGGCTAGCCATTTATGAAGCAACTTCTCTCCTGAAGCTAAGCATGGTGACACACACCTGTACTTCTAGCATTCTGCGAGGCTGAGGCAGGAAGATCACAAGTATAAGCCCAGGCTGGGCAATTTAGTGACCACTGACACTGTCTCAAAATGAAATCTGAAAAGGGCTAAAGATGTAGCTGAGTGCACACATCCTAGGTTCAATACCCAGAATCGGGGGGAAAAAACAAAAAGCTCTCCCTGAGCTTTGCTAGGATCTAAGGAATATAGGCCCAGGATTTCTATTTCTCTTCCAGCCCTGCAAGTAACATTTCAGTTTTCCCAGTTGTAAAATGGTTGGGCTGGAGCAGGGCGGTGGGGTGTAACAGACAGGTCTCAGGATCACAGAACACAGATGATGAACTTGTGCAAACAATGCTTTATTGAGGAAACTAGGGCACGAAGGCATAAAGCAAGCGGGAAAACCCACCAGCCAAAATATCAGCCCGGCGAAGCTGCTTAGTGCTGGCCACTGCCAACACTCAGGACAGCCTCTAGGTGGCGCTCTTCCCTTCTTCTCTGCATGCCTCTTACACCCTTCTCGACCCACAGGACTTCGTGGACGGCATGCAGGTCTGCAGCACTGGCTTTGAAGGACTTGAAATCCAGCCTCCAGCTGGACCCCTCTGGATCCTCGGGGATGTCTTCATCCGGCAGTTCTACGCCGTCTTTGATCGTGGGAATAACCGCGTGGGGTTGGCCCCAGCAGTCCCCTGAGTAGAGTTTTATGTCCCTGCCACCTGACACTTGTGGGCTTGTTAGGTTGGGGCATTGTTTACACTAAAAAAAAAAAAATTCATTTTCAGTAGAATGCTGACATTCCCAGAGTTACAACCTGAATTAGGACTGAACAGACAGTGACAACACATACACAGTCTCACACATCCACATCTCCACCATCATCATCATAATGGAAACATTCAGTTATATTTCCATATTTGTCATTGCTTTTGCTGATTATTTTACCATAAAAATCTCCAAATATATATTTGACAGAGGTGACAATAAATCCCTGGCCACTCCAGCTAGCTCCCTTTTTGAGCACCACTGCCTACTTCCCTCTCTCGTTGCACATACCTGGGTTATTCTGAGGTATATTCGAGAATCATGTCATTTTATCCATAAACACTCTTAACATCCTGGAACAGACAGTCAGAACCAAGCATCTCCCACTGTCTCACAAATGACTGGTTGTTTTTACACCTGGTTGGTTTGTAGCGGGGTTTAAACATGATCTGCAAACTGCATTTATTTTAAAAGCCTCTTAATCCTCTTTTCTTCTATGGCACTAATCATCAAAATTTCACTGGTGGCATTTAACATCAGTCTTTGAACTTCTCTTTCTCATGAAGTGGTAGTTAAATCTAGAGGTCTGAATTAGAGCCGAAAATGCATCATGGGTGGTACTAGGTACTTCCTGCTGGGTCCCCGCTATTGGCAGATGCATGAATTTGGAGTCATCAGCCTTCAACCTCTAACAGATTTCCCTACAACATCCTACCTCGCGGTTCTAGCAGTTGGTGATGATAATTGATCATGGCTGAGATCCACATTGTCTTTCAGGGAATTAATCCCTACTCAGGAGAATGAATCTCATCAAAGACAAAAGGGCCTGGAGTAAAAAGGATTTATAGCTCTTCTTCTAGAACAAAGTGCCCTAAGTGCCAAGGGGAGCTAAGTGTTGTGTCCCATGCCTGCAGGTGCTCTCCCTGGGGGCCTTTCTGCAGGGTGCCCCCCTTGGCGTTGAGTGACCAGTCTGAGCTGCATGTTCAGAGGGCGCCTGGAGGACAAAAGCAATGTGAAAGTCACAGGGAGCCTGCTGAGTGATGGAACAGGAACAGACTTTGTCTTCACAACAGCCTGCCAGCTCTGTTACAAAAATTCTTCTACAACCTTGTTTCTTACCTCCCCTCCTCCCCAAACACACACACACACACACACACACACACACACACACATGCCCAAGTATTGCTTTTCACCAAGGGTATTTCAGGAACATCCAAATGGATTCTCTGATCCTGGTCTTGCCTCCCTCCCAACACACCAGTGCTGGGCTGATTAATATTCCAGAAACCTGGCTCCAATCCCAGACTTCCCTGCTCTGTCTGGGCTTCCCAGGTGTGCCTTGTGGTGCACCAAGTAACATCAAGCTGACAGAACTTTCAGGGTGCTCCAGAACCTGGCCCCAGTTTGACCCCTTCCTCCTTTCCCAACCAGCCCACCCCAACCAAACTGAATCCCTGGCCTTCTCATTTGCACCTGTGCTCCCAGGAGTCCTTTTACCCTGCCCAGTGGAGGAGCAGACCATTCCCAAAATAGCCCCTTGATGAGCCTCAGGGTATCAGGGAAGAGATGTTAAATCAATGCTCAGAAGGACTAGATGAAAATCTCTGGCCTGTGGGATGCTCTATGAGGGTGGTCAGCAAGGATTTGGAGCCCAGCTGTGCACTCTGCCTTCTGCCACCCAGAGACTCAGCATCTCCTCTGCCCGCCCGAAATCACTGTCCTTTAGCTGGAACCCGCTGTCTCAGCTGTGCACCACACTTCTGAACATGTTCATTGCCCCAGCTTCCTTGAGCTCCAGTTCAAATTCCCCCTTCCCATAGGGAAAATGGCGGTATTCCTCCTCCAGCTCCTTACACCTCTGTATTTGCACCGAGCTTACTCCTATTGTTAAAACTCAGTTTCTATTTTTGAGCCCCCAGTGTCTGGCCTACTTAGATTGTTGAATGAATGTGCATATGATGGGGGACCTCAGGCTTCCTCTGCAGGGTGGAGGTTGGCTGCAGCTCCTAGTAATGGAGGAAGCGACGCTGGAGCCTGTGACTTGGCTTCCAGAAGCATTGGGGATAGTTCTGCAAATGTTCCCTGAAAGAACAAGTTTCAGAAGTAGTAAAGGCCAGCGATTTACTTCCTGTGCCCCAAAGGCCCCAGCAGCGCAGTCCCAGGACCACATCACAGCTCTCTGCTCCTCGCTCTCTCTCCTCTCACACATACACACACATTTATTTAAAACCTGGTCTCAGAAAAAAAATTGAATATGAAGGAGAAATATTTAAAGGGTAACAGTTTCAGAACAAATCAGCTATTATAAATCAGTGGCTATTTTGAGGGTGGATTAATGCACCTTTTCCCAAAAAATCAAACTAGAAAATCTTGGGTAAACATGTCCTGGAAATTTTTCCAACTTCTCTGTAGCCTGTCAACATTATACTTCATGGAAATTGTCACGCCCTCCCTCCAGGCACGCTTGCCAGTCGATACAAGGACATGGCTTCCACTTTGCTTCCACCAAAAATTCCTTTGCGGGGCCTGTCGCTGGCAGTAGGAGTGGCCGAGGAAGGGGTTCACCGTCATCCCCTTGCCCTCGAGGAGTGTGTGGTTCTTGGCCAAATCACACACACACACAGAGGAAGGGTTTTCCCACCAACTGGGAAGATAGCTAAACAAAGGGACAGGCCGACAAGGAGACAGAAGCCATGCAAAGGAACGTGGGGCAGAAAGACACACCAAGGTCTCACCCACTGAGGGCCCTCCCGGAGACTGAGTGATCTGCAGAGCTGGGCATGTCAGAGCTCACTCTCTTCCCCTTTCATCTGCCAAGCACAGTCATTACCCAAGGCATGGTTCCAGGCAGCTCAAGGAGTTCTGTAAATTAGCTCCCTGCTGACAGTGAGTTAAATGGCTGGAGTCTCCTGAGCACTTCGGCTGGGGCCTGAGGAGTGTGAGAACTTGTCTCATGTTGCATACGCATGGTATTGGTGTGGTGTGGTGTGGTGTGCGTGTGTGCATGTGTGCATGGTGTGGGGTGTGTGTTTGCACTATGGGGTATATGTGGCACATGTGCTGTGTGGGTGTGCAGGTGGGGGGTGGAGTGTGCGTGGTATAGTGGGGTGTAAGGTATATGTAGTGTGTGTGGTGTGAGGATACATGCGGAGTCTGGGGTTTGTGGTATGGGCGGGTGTTTGGGTGTGTGTAGGTATGTTAGGCGTGTGTATAAAGTATTGGGGTGAGGACAAGGTGTGAGAACGAAAACTTTCTCTTACTAGGCTGGTGGTGGGACCGAATCTGCTACCCATGTACTGAGAACTTCAAAACACAAAAGGGCCCCTTTCCTGGGTGGCTTCCAGCAGAAGAACCAGCAGTTTCCTAAAAGCTTTATGGGGCCCTGTTACCTCACAGGCCCCCTAGCCCTCCAGTCCCCATTTCAAGCCTTTTGTTTCTCACCCTTATGGCCAGGGTCCCTATAAACCAAATTCGTTAGGAGCTCCAGAGCCGGTCTGCTCAGAAACCCAGCTCTCGAGTTCCTCCCCAGCTCTGCCACCCACACAGCTGAGGTCAGCCTGGCCCAGCCTCTTTTGCAACTTTTCCAAGTCTGTACGCGGAGGCAGAGGAGGAAAACTCAGAGGGAAGTGGCCTGGCCACAGACCTATAAGTTCCAAAGCCTTTCTCCTCGGGCCTGGCTGGAACTGCTGCTCCAAAGAGAGACCTCTGGACCCGGAGAGAACAGCCACCTGCCCGGGGAGGCCAGGGCTGCTCAGCCACAGCTGTAAGTGCCCTGTAAGTTTGTCTTTATCCTTCTGTCTTCCCAGTAGCCCCAGAGCTCACCGTGTTCTTAGTGGACTGGAGTGGAGACCAGACCCAGGGAAGAGGCTTAGAATCTGGCAGCTTCTGGCAAGATGTCAGGAAAGGGCTCCCCCCGCCTGTCTGGGGAGCTGAGCCCTGCTCGGGAATCCACGGGGGCCAGTGGTGCCAGGCAGGATGCAGCTGCAGCCACTCAGGAAAGAGAGTGGTGCTGCTGCCTCTGGCCTGTAGGGCCCGCCAGAAGACAGAGCCCTCCGGGAGGCTGGCACGTGGTGTCCCCACTCCGCATGGACAACGGAACTCTGTGGGCCAAAGCACCTCGTTGGTAAAGCTGGGCTACTAAAGCAGGAGATAATGAACCTTGTTCCAAATCATAAATATTTCTCCTGACATGACAGAGAAGTCAATGAACTAGTTGTGGGATCTAGTCTCAGCTTGCTACTAACCAGTTCTTTGTTTGGGAAAGCCTTGGCTCATAGTGGCATTTTATAAAGTGCAAGTTCTCTGTAATTTCAAAACATTGTGTGTTGATAAAAATAATTCCTTTGGACTTACTGATTAATTCTCCATCATGTAAATCCATGGATATCGTAACTGATCTATATATTTAATGCTAACACGCAGTTGGCATCCACTGCTTTTGCTGGATGGATAGATGAGTGGATTGGGTGGGTGGATGGATGGATGGGTAAATGAATGGGTGGATGAGTGCTATTTATAGAAGGCTCTATCTTCTCATCGTGCATTGGGCTATTTGTGGAAATACAGAGAGTATGAGGCTGCCCTGGGCACAGACAGTGTGCTTGGGGAGTCAGGATTAAATGCTCCAGAGAACCTAAAGAAAAGAATGCTGCACCTCCTGAAACTGGGGCTCCCTACTTTCCCGTAGGGAGCAAGTCTGGACCTGGTTTGGGTGGGTGTGGCAAAATTGTTAATGCTCCTGGCAGGCAACAAGGCCTTGTATTCCCTTGATAGTCTCTTCTACCAACAAACTTGACTTTGCCAATGGCAAGTCTCATTAATTTTTTTAGGGTGGATGTATTTTCTATCTTCTAAAGTATGAGATTGGGAAGGGAGGGGCAAAGATTGGGCAAGAGGCCAAAGGAGACTTGCTTCAGAGTTCTCACCTGCCCCTGCTCCAGTCTCCCTACTGACAGACCCCACCACCACTACCAGCAGATGCCAATAAGGCAGAAGACTGCACCGCGGTCCTGGCTGGGGCTGGTGGAGTGGGGAAGGAGGGAGGTGAGAAGGTGAGGACAGAGCAGCTCCAAGAGTTCTTGGAGAACTAGACACTGAGCCCAAGTGTACCTTGGCCACTTCTCAGGCTTTCTGCTTCACGGGACAGAGCCACATGGTAACTTTGGACACTGGGGCCCTGGAAGTGCTGCCAGGCAAGAGAGGGAGAAAACTTGGTCACATCCAGTGGGGCATGGGTTCTGCCCCAAATGGGCCTGGGTAGCTGATGGCAGGTCCTGCATTCCGAGGTTGCTTGTCACTGCTTTGAACCGTGGAGGATGAGTCAGCCTGGCCTGTGGGACGATGCTCTGCTTTGAATCATCTGAGTCAGCTGAATGGACAGGAAGAGACTTAGAAGGACAGCCGAGGGCACAGCCCAGCCAAAGACAGAGCAGAGAGGACAGGGAATGGGACCTCAGCCGCTGCTTAAGTCTGCACATGCCCCTGGAGCCAGTACGGTACTGAGCCAGTCCAGCTACTGTCTTGTTGCCGCTGTGCTTGAGACTCAGGTAGCAGGCTCCAGCAAAGCGCTTGCCCTCGTAGAAGGGACAGAACGGAGACCAGGGTGGTGAGCAGTCAGGGAACTTACAGGCTGAGGCAGTGATCAGAAGATTCAAGTAAAACTCAAAAGGCGGGCGTGTGGCACAGGAATTGAGCAATTCTCTCGTGGCCCCCAAGAAAGGAAGAAGCACCCTGGAGCAGGTCTGCTGCATTCTCCATGGGTGTGGTCCGGTGGCTGGAGCACGGGGTGCAAGGTGAGCCCAGGAGACCTCTGAGGTCCTCCCAGGCCTGCACTGGCCCCACACTAATGGCTCACAGTCAGCCAGCCCTCCTGGGTGAGTCACAGCCCAGAAGATGGCAAGCGCTGTAAATCGGGAATCTGGTCCCCAACCCCCTTTCTACATCCCACATGTTAAACATTTAAGTGAATCTTTCCCATCCCAAGGAGTCTGTGTGCTACAAAATACAGCGCTTGCTGAGGAAGCCACAATTCTGTCATCCTCTTTTTCGGTAAGGAGCTGTCATAACCAAATAGCTTGCCTGACGTCAGAGCTGGCACAAAAGCTCTGACCCCAAAACTCATGATCACTGAGTGGGACCTGCTTCTCCCTCCTGTCCCAGCCAAGTGACTCATCACAGCAGGAAATCACATTCTGGTGACTCTGGGCAGCCACGCAGTCACATATATTTGTAAAAGAGGTTACGTCTTTATCTGGTATTTTTAATTACAGAAATAATTTAGGTTTGTAGAATAATTGTTAAAGCCAGACATCTATAAAAAAAAAAAAAAGATAGCTCTTAGCCCCTAATCTGCCTTCCCACAGCTCTCTCATTAATCCTATCGTTCACATCTATCCATGACATTCTGCATATTCTCAGGATAAATGTGTAATATGAAACACAGTCACACACTAGGGATTATTTGTTTTTGTGATTGGGTTCATACTACACAAATTGCTCAGTAAGTTTGTTTTTAGTTAAATGAGCATGCGTTTTTCCATTTTACCACTTTTTCTTTTTAAAACTTCCTAGTATCCCAGGGTGTACTCATGGATTAGAATTTACATAGGGAGTCTGATTGTTGGATTTTTAGGTCCAACAAATAGGTGTTCTCACAAGGCCCAGTGAAAAAGGTATGCAGTGATCATGATAGCTTTGCAGGCAGGTAAGATCACAGTTGTTGCTGACTACAGTGGCGTACCCTTGTAATCCCAGCTGCTCAGGAGGCTGTGGAAGGAGGACTGCACGGCCAGGTCCTGCCTGGGCAACAAAGTACAACTCCTCTCAAGGAAACAAAAAAGAAAAAGAAAAGAAAAATGCTCTAGCACTACAGGCTTTATGTCTTTAGGGATGAGCTGCTCAACTTCTGTAAGCATGTGTGTGTGTGTAATAAAAAGATAATAGTAGCATGAATCCTATAGGCTATTTTCACGTCTAATGAAGTAGCTAACATTTCTTGAGCCCTTAATTTGTGCCAGTAAATGCATCATAACAACATACTGTGTGTTAAATGCATTGCAATAAAACTATTGATTTATTTAACTCACAACATGCATATTGCTTCTTCGCATACTTGCAAAGCTCTCAGCATGATGTCTGGAAAATCGATGCTAGTAGATAGCACTGTGGCATTGTCACTGCTGTGCTACCCCCTGTAAATGTAGCCCCCTCGTCCCCACATGACTAGTGGCAGGTCTTCACACAGCTCCCCTCCAGGAACCCCAGTTCCTTTGGCGCCCGCTCTATGTTGTCACTTTGGCGACCTTTCTTTAGGACCTCCAGGTCCCCTAGGGCTTTGTGATTTCACCAATCCTGAGCCCAGGGCCCCAGATCCGGTGGGTTCATGCTCAGGAATTACAGGACACAGAAGCCTCCTCAGGCTCCCCTGTCTGTCACTGCATAGCCGTTGAGGTGTCATAAGTGACTTGCTTCTCTGAGCCTGCTTGTGGGTTCCGAGCCAGGGCCAGTTTCTTCCCCATTCTCCCCACCTCCTTTTGTTCTAATTCTCTTTCTAAGATGTTGTGTTGATCTCTCAAGCAAAGTGAGCACATTTTTACCCAAGCCTTTAGGAAACAGCCCCCCGCTGCTCCCAGTGCCCTCCTATGTGAGACCCAGCTAGGAGTTTCTGAGCCAAGTGTCCCTTGGCTGACTTGTGGGAGGGAGTCGGGCAGTGAGACCTTTGCAAACTACCAGCCTGGGCTAACCCTTGAATCCCTTCCTGCACACGGCTGGAGGATAGAAAAGGGTGCTGAGAGAATGAGGGAACTGATGCAGGGTGTTTACAGCCCACCTTAGTCCTGTTTCTGCTCCAGCTTCCTGCCTCCTCCTTTCCCCTGAACCAGTCGCCATCTCCACTCACTGGTGCCAGGGTCTGCTTATGTCACCCCCTCCTGCGGAAACGTCACCTTCTGCCTCATTTCTACAAATTCTGTTGAATTTTATCATATTTTCTCTGTATTCCTGAGCACAATACACTTTCTCTGGTGTCACCCGGCCCTGGTACAATCCTCCTGATGACTCCCCACGGTGGGGTCCTATTTCCTTCATCGTGGGCAGTCCCAGTGTCTAGCACAAGGCTTTGCAAACTGTTCTTATCACGGGAGAATGGTGAGGTTGTGAGATGGTGCAAGTGCTCATTAGTTGGCCTTAGCAATTTCACAGTGTCTGTGTCCTGTATTTCAAACGAATACATTGAGAGGTTCGGGACAGGGAGTGGGGTGTGCAGTGCAGTGGTTAGCATTCACCCAGCATGGGCAAGTCTTAGATTCCATTCCCAATATCAAAAAGAAAGAGAAAAAAGACAAAGTAAATTCAATTTAATATCACTTTATACTGAACTATTTAGGGTGATATTATATATAAAGTTTCAAATTTACATCCCGGTGCACAAGCTACAGCAACCTGTGTTAGTATAAAATACTCAAGGGCTCTATTGTAATGACTACTTACATTCATGTGCACCAGAATTTAACCACTTCTTTATTGATGGATATTTACAAACCATACTAAGAAGCACATTCTGGAACAAGAGTCTGCATTTCTGGTTATTTCCTTAGGACAAATTCCTAGAAGTGGAGGTCAGATCACTTTTAAGGCTCTGACTGCTTGCTGCCAAGTAGCTTTCCAGCAACACGCACCAAGTCCAGCACTGCCAGCTGCAGCGGAGAAGAGCCCTTTGACTCCAACACTGCAGCAGCACCTCGTGCTGGGGGAGGGCAGCTTCCCTCTGAGCTCCAGGCAGTCCTGACAATGGGCCCTTGTCCTGCCCACCCCAGCACTTCTTTCCGCAGAGCCCTCCACCCCTGGCTCCAGGCTTGACTGTCTGCAAGGCCTGTGTTCAGTCTCATCCCGCCCTCTTGGCAAGTGCTGCCCCAGGGCAGTGCTGGTGGAGTGCGGAGGGTGAGTGATTTTCCGGTCCTGCCCCTAGGTAAGTAAGGGGAGAGCTAGTCCGGGTTTCTGACTCTTGTTCCCCTTTTGGAGACTAGCTCCCCTTCCCCATCCCAGGTCCAGGGCAGAGACCTGCACATTAAGGACCAGCCCTAGTGACAATGGCCACAGGGACACTGGTAGCATGAAGGTGACTTCTGTTTCCCCACAGGCTCTGAGCCCCTTCATGAATCCTCAGAAGAAGGTGGATTTGAAACTCATCATCGTCGGAGAACTTGGGTAAGCCGAGCTCAGTTCATGGTGTGGGGTCAGGGAGCAACAGCCCCCAAGTACAGGAAGGGAGGCCATTTCCCCTAGGCCGCTTTCTAATTCTGGGTGGCAGCAGAAGTGCATTCACCTCTGGGAAGGGAGCTCAGTTTCAAGACAGAGACCAGCAGTGAACAGATAGTTTGGGCCTTGGCTCGGCAGCACAAAGCGGTGAGTTCTGGGTCTGGCCTGCAAGTCTGTGCCTTCTGCTGCCTGCCACACCCGGCAGAGACCTACTGTGGGGTTTTTTAACTCCCACCAAACTCAAGCGCTTCTATTTGGCTTCTACATCTAGAAACTGTTCCTTAATCCCTTGTTCCTCTAAGTATGGTCCCTGGGCCACAGATAACATCTGAAACCAGAATCTCTGGAAGGGGCAACCATGTTAGGGACCTGGTAAGATTCTGAGAACAGTGTGACTGTACACACATGTGTTCACGCACATCTTGGGCTTTGTCTCAGTGTGGGAAAGACCTCTCTCCTTCACCAATATGTGCACAAGACATTTTACGGGGAATACCAGACCACGTTGGGGGCCAGCATCCTCTCCAAGGTCATCATCCTGGACGACACCACTTTGAAGCTACAGGTGAGCCATCCTCTCCTGTATCCTGTGTACGCACCCAAAAATAACCTGCATCTTCACCTTCATAGCAAAGCACAGCAGGAACAAGGGGTGGGTCAAGCAGAGCTGGGTGAACTTCAACTGGGGTCTACTCTGTTCTCTTCACCGAGACACAGCCATACCCACTTATATCCCTGCTGTCTTTTGCTCTATAACGCAGAGCAAATGGATAGAACAGAGACAGCACATCCTGCAAAGCCCATTATATTCACTGTCTGGCTCTTTGCAGGGAAAAAGGCTGATCTGATCCACTTTCTGGCTCTTTGTGGAGCTGGGAGACATCAGGCTCCCTAGCAAACTTAGTGGTAGCCTTGGCCAAGTTACATGTAGGATCTGAGTCTCCAGATCTGTCAGATGAGAATAGCAACCTTGATAACCCAAAAGCCAAATGAGAGCTCAGGTGTGATGGTGCTCACAGGACGTTAAATGATCCTGTGGCCTGGTGTGTGGAAGAACCACCTGCTCCCCCCCCCAAAAAAAAGAGGCATGGGTCTACTCTAGCCTGACAGACCTTCCCCCAGTCCTGTGTCACAGCCCCACGGGGCGGCTGCTCTTCCCCTCCAGATCTGGGACACAGGCGGTCAAGAGCGGTTCCGTTCCATGGTGTCCACCTTCTACAAAGGCTCCGATGGCTGCATCCTGGCTTTTGATGTCACGGATCTGGAATCCTTTGAAGCCCTGGATGTCTGGCGGGGTGATATTCTAGCCAAGATGGAGCAGTCATATCCTATGGTGGTGCTGGGCAACAAAATCGATCTGGAAGACAGGAAGGTACTGTCTGCTCATTTGTTCATTCATTCAACACCTGTCACGTGAGTACCCACTATTACCAGGCTCTGTGTTAGGTCTCACATGTATGGAGCTGAATCAGTCACAATCCTTACTTCAAGAATTCACAGACTCGTAGTGGATACAGACTCTTTGCAAAGCAGTTATGATACCTTAAGTAAATGCAGCCCTCCACCCTGGAGATTTGGGGTCCTAGTGAAGAGGCACATATTCAAGTCCAGAATACAGGACAGGTTTCCTGCAAGAGATGGGTTCCCAGCTGACAGGACAGCATGATGTGATCTGAGAACTGAGTGATTCTGTCTAGAGGCAGAGCATGGAGAAGTTGAGGCTTTGAAGAAGGGAGCAGGAGGGTTTGAGGGGTGTTGAATTTGAATAGCATTTCTGCCTGTGGTCAGAGGAGATCTGCATTTGTAAATGCCTGGATCCATAAGTTCTCTGAGAAAGCAGTGATTTTTCTTATCAGTGTAAGCATAGTCCAGGTCATCAGGTTAACCACTAGACAGCTGGTTCCCAAACAAAGCCAAAGATGGAACCCAAAAGAGCTGTTTGACTCAAGTTTTCTTAGTGTTTCAAACAGAGAAAGGTAATGGGGAACTGAATCGTTGTGTTTGAGTTTAGTTTTCACAATGGTTCAAATAGAGAAAAGTCATGGGAGAACTGAGCATCCCCAGGCAGGGCAGGATGGAGTGGTTGGTGAGTGGGGAGGAGCAAGGGAGGGTGCTTCCAAGTGCACCACCATTGACAGAAGGGAGCCTCCTGCTCCTGAGGAAAAGCCTGCCTGTCTTGTTTGGATTGAGGAGCCTGGGGAACAGCTGCAGGTGGCTGGACGGGACCAGCAGGCTGTGGGCTACCTAAGAACAAAACTCGAAGGAGAAGTCTAAGATGGAAACAGGTAGATAGAAATCTTCACCTCGGTGCTCAGTTCTGGTTACAAATAGCCAGCCTTGGGTGATAACCCAGGCACTACATTCATTCAAAGGCAGTGTCCTCCTTATTTCCCCAGTGGGCCAGCCACTGGTGACACTTTTCCAGTAAACTCACACATTCACCCTCTTCCTCCCTGAAAACTGAGGTCCTAATTCTGGCATCAGATCTGTCTGCAGTCAAGCGGGAAGGAGACATGGTGGGGAAGCTGGGCCAGTGCTGACTTGACTGCTGTCATTGTGAACAGTTTTGCGCTCTCTGGGCCTGGCAGAAGTGGCAAGCTCTTTCTTCTGTGTGTCAACCCTTTGGGTCCTTAAGAAGCCTTCACCAGGAACACAACACTACACCTTCCATGGCAAGTGTCCTCTTCAATTCCTTACCTGTCAGCCACCCCAGGGCTCCCTCCCTCCCTCCCAAGGTGTTCCTCTGCCTTTTGGTCCCCTGCAGAAAGTCTCTCCTCTCTCAGATCTCTGAGGTGAACGTCAGGCACCAGACCCCCACGCCCACTAAACTCCAGGACTTGTGTGTCAATGGTCATCCTCAAAAACCATCTTGACTAGAGGCAAAACTCTACCTGCTTCTCCTCCCACAGGAAGCAAAGATTGTTGTACCAACAAGACAACTTTCTCCTGCTCTGAAGGAACCCTTACTAATCATCTTTCTCAACCTCCTGTATATCCGTGCCCATCTATAAGCCTCACCTAAGATCTCCTTGATTATGAATGTTTGGAGATGTGCGTGGTCACAGGATGGTCTGTCCCTTAACCCACTTTAGTACATCCAACATCTATCAGACTGTAGAGCTTCCACCCAAACACCCATTTTAATCTCATATTTCATACATCTGTAGTTTGAAGGGTAGGAAGCTGAGCGGAATTCAAGACCAACTCCAACTTTCTCTCGGTGAAATAAGAGTCACTGCCTTCTGGTGAAAGGAAAGGGACCAAGTAAAAGGGATAGGAGTCCTGGTGAGGCTTACTCTCGGGAGAAATAGGAGGAAGAGCTGCTCAAAGACAAGGACAAGAATTGATGGGTAGTACCAAGGGCCCAACTGGAGGGGAGACCATGACCATGGAGCCTGTGCTGTGTGGATCTTTCGCAGCCTTGTGTGGGTCAAATACCAGGACCAAGAGACCTGGGACTGAGGTCTACCCAAGCCAGAAGAGCTGAAGGATGAGGCCAGGAGGGCTCCAAGAAGCCGAGAAGGAAAAGAGAGGGAGAAAGAAGGCTGAGGGTTAGGGAGTGGGTGTCAGAAGTGGGTGAGCAGGGCAGGAGAGAGGACAGGCTTGAAGAGAAGACTGTGACCACGGGACAGGAGGCAGGTTTAGTGTTTACAGGAGCCTGGGGCTGGCCAGGGGAGGATGAGGTGGAAGTGGAGGGAGTAATGGCTGGGCAGGAACCCTGCAGCACCGTGAGCAGTGCCAGCTGTGTGTGGAGGGGAAGAGGAAGCCACACCAGATCACAAGCCTTCCATGGACACGGGCATTCCCAGCAGGGACAGAAGGACCAGTGATGACTCACAGGAGCAGTGGGGTCCCCTGCAGCCTTCAGGGTGTGCTGTGGTATAGAGAAAGGAAAAGCAAAGGATTGAAAGAAATGAGGTGAGGGTGAGCCAACCCCCTCTTTGGCATCTGGAGTGAGGATGGCGTGGAAATGGTCCCAGTAGAGAGGAATGGAAGCCTCAGCAAAGCCAGGGGAGGAGGAGGAGATTGTCTGTGGCAACAGGTGAGGAAGCATTAATGGTACTGAAATGGGCACAGGGAAGTGGAGAGGAGGAAGTGGATGAGGGAGAGTTCGGGGACTTTAATTCAGAGACCCAGCAAAGCAAGGCGGAGAGGGGAGGCTGGCAGATGGCTTTACTCGGGTGCACACCTACCGTGGTTGGCTGAGAGCGAGGAAATGGAGGGGTCGGGTTGAGAGGTAGATGGGGGAGGGCGCACTGCGCACTTGCACAGAGCTGAGTGGGTGTGCTCCAAGGCTGCGGAGGGGATGCCTTCTCTGTGTTAGCTTTCTGCCACTGTGACACCAATGCCTGAGATAATCAACTTACAAGGAGGCGACAGTTTCTTTGGCTTGTGGTTTCAGCCCATGGTCAGTGCATGTCATTGCCTTTGGACCTGCAGTGGAACATCATGGTGCAAAATCTTAAGAGAACTAAATCACACCCACAAGTTTAAGAACAGTGTTACTTTGTGTCTTGGGTGCGCAAAGCCCAAAGGGCAACAAATGAGCATAATGGAGGAGAGGTACTGGGAAGCAGGAAGAGCATGTTCAAATGGAAAGCGGAACATAGGTGGGGGAAGGGAAGAGCAAGAAGGAATGGGGGGAGATAATGGAAAGGAAAAAATGTAAGCAAAGCTTTTATAAGTGGAGAGGGGAAGAAAGGTTAAAGGGAGGGAAAGAAAGTGGAGGGAAAAATTAAGATATATTAAGTATAAGTGCAAATTCCCTACAATGAATGTTATCATTATGTAGGATAAAAATGTACTAATATTTAAAAATAAAGTTTAAAAATTAAATAAAAAAAGAAAAACAACATGGCAGGAATACATGTTGGGAGAAGCCACTTCATAGCAGCAGAAAGCAAAGGAAATGAAGAGGAGGGGTCAGGTGAGGTTCTGATCGCCTCTTCAAGGGCATAATCATAAAGGCCCAGCTTCCGTCTGCCGGTTCCACACCTTATAGGTTCGCCCACCCCCCAGTTGCCTAGCAGGCTGGGCGCCGAACCCTAACACTTGAGTCTTTGGGGCACATCGCAAACCGTAGCACCCTCAGCTGAGATGGACTCACACTGCACACTGCCACTTGCTCCCTGGGTGCCCTGGGGCTCCTCCGGTTTCTTCCTCAGAGGGCTGGAAACCCAAACTCGAATTTCTGAGGTTGTTTGAGGATTAAAGAAAGTTATACCATTGCTATCCTCTTTAGTATCTGTAAGGGACTAGGCTGGAAAACATGGCAGCTTTTCCTACATCATTAAAACAAAATAGATATTTAAAAACATATCAGTAGATCTGAGAAGATGAGAAAGTTCTGGTTTGGGTAGTGGTGATGGTTGTACAACAGTAGGAATGTACTTAATAACCCTGAATTATTGCTTTAAAACTGTGAAATTGTGCATTCCTTACCACAAGGAACACACATACACACACAATGACTTTAAAGAAATTGTTGACCTAACTCTTTTAAAAATATCTGTATACTTTTACAGAAGGTAATTGCAGAACAAATGCAGTTTATTAGAAAAAACATCTCTGCTAACACCTATGTGCTACAGGAATTTATTCATGGAATGTGAACTCTTTGCTCTATGCTCAGAGAGATGGTCTCTAATACCCAGTTCATAGAACTGGATTATGTTTTCTAAAAATATTCTTTTATAGTCATAGTAAGTGGTTTATTAATTAGTACTAGATGTGCTAATTATAACAAAAGTATAAACAATCATTTGAAAGGAAGGCATGCAAAGTGGAAAAACATCATAAATAAAATAATGCAAACTGGAATAATTTGCCAAATATTTGGTATCCAATGAATGAGCAAAACTATAACAAAAACATAAAATGTAGTAGCTTATTGTCTACCACAAGGAAAATTAACAGAAGTAATGCTCCTTAAATGTTTGTGTATCCCACACCCCAAGTCCACACCTTGAGTTTGTTTCCAGAGTCCAAACCTAAAAGTATGCTTATACTTCATAAGATAAGATGATCTTACAAGCCATGAAACTCCAGCCAGAACAGGCAGAGAAACAGGGAAATGTTCTCTGGGTATGTTTCTTCCCAGGCCACCAGTCCCTGGCTGGGTGAATATAGAGGAAATGAAAAAGGATTTTTTTGATAGAATAATCCCAACTGAAACGTTGCAGTCATTCCTTTAAATGGAACTGAAAAAGAGCAGAGGAAATGGGATCGAGAGTCTGTCCTGGTTCAAAACAGGAACAGCTGAGCTCAGCAGGCCCAGCTTCTGAGCTGTCACCAGGCAATCTCAAGCACCAACCCTTGGCTTCTGTTTCTCAGGCCATTCAATAAATCCCCCTGCATCCCAGAGAAACAGAG